TGGGCTGTAGGGCCTTTGGGAGTGACGGATGTGCTCTGCTTGACGTGGAGCAGCGTGGAGCAGATCGTGGGCAGGGATCGGGCGCTGCCCGCGGACAAGAAGGTTCGGGAGAAGGGGGAGAAGCCGGCGCTGGAGGCGGAGCTGGTGGACGAGCTCAGCATGATGGGGCGCGTGGTCAAAGTGGAGCGGCAGGTCAGGAGGGGACATGGTGGCAATGTCCCCGTCCCTTGGGGGCCGAGCCGAGCCCCTGCCCACCCTGCGGCCCTTTGCAGGTGCAATCCATCGAGCACAAGCTGGACCTGCTGCTCGGCCTCTACTCGCGGTGTCTCCGCAAGGGCTCGGCCAACTCCTTGGTGCTGGCCGCAGTGCGGGTGCCACCCGGCGAGCCCGATGTCACCTCCGACTACCAGAGCCCCGTGGAGCACGAGGACATCTCCACGTCTGCCCAGAGCCTCAGCATCTCCCGCTCGGCCAGCACCAACATGGACTGAGCGATGGGCAGCGGGATGGGCCCTGCCCGCCCGGCATGGGGCATGGCAGCGGCGTGGCACTGTCCCCTCGCTGTCCCCTCCCTGCCCCTCGCCGTGTTACTTGAACCGAGTCTTCCTCTGTGGGGACACGGCTGCAGCGGGGCGCCCGTGGCACTGGGGCATGGCCAGCTCACGCTCCTGGGGTGCTCCTGGGGTGTTCCTGAGGGTGTTCCTGAGGGTGTTCCTGGGATGTTCCTGGGATGTTCCTGGGGATGTTCCTGAGGTGTTCCTGGGATGTTCCTGAGGTGCTCCTGGGGACGTTCCTGGGATGTTCCTGGGGATGTTCCTGAAGTGTTCCTGGGGATGATCCTGGGGATGTTCCTGGGGATGTTCCTGGGGATGTTCCTGGGGTGTTCTTGGCCAGTTCCTGGGAATGTTCCTGGGATGTTCCTGGGGATGTTCCTGGGATGTTCCTGGGGTGCTCCTGGAACATTCCTGAGGTGCTCCTGGGATGTTCCTGGGGTGTTCTTGGGAAGTTCCTGGGAATGTTCCTGGGATGTTCCTGGGGTTGTTCCTGGGGTGTTCCTGGCAAGTTCCTGAGAATGTTTCTGGGATGCTTCTGGAATATTCCTGGGGATGTTCCTGGGGTACTCCTGGGATGTTCCTGGGGATGTTCCTGGGGATGTTCCTGGGATGTTCCTGGGGTGTTCCTGGCAAGTTCCTGAGAATGTTTCTGGGGTGCTCCTGGAATATTCCTGGGGATGTTCCTGGGGTACTCCTGGGATGTTCCTGGGATGCTCCTGGGGATGCTCCTGGCTTCCTGCAGGATGGCACCCCTCAGCTCCGGGCTCCTGGGTGCTCCCCAGATGTGGTGGGGATGCTCTGGGCTGGCCCCATCCCCTGGGGATTGGTTTGAACCCCAGCCCCAGCCCTCAGGACAGGCCCTGCCTGGTCCCCCAGAGCTGAGCTGGGGCCACCACCAGCTATGCAAGGTCCCATCTCCCTCTTGCTGCCGGTGCAGGGGTGTGGGGCAGGACCCAGGGTGGCTTTACCCGCGTCATTGGGGTCCCCAGTGTGGGGAGCAAGGGACTGCCCCCCTGCCCAGGCTGCACCTCTCCAGAAGCACAGCAGAGCCTTCTGCCTGCCCGTGCATGCTCCCAGGGCAATATATATATAGAAGATATATATATATATATATTTATGCAATAATGTCTTAATATGCAACACCCCGGGAAGAGCAACCCGAGGGGCCATAGGCAATAAGCAACCCCCTGCCAGCTCCCAGGGCTGGGCTGTGCTGCCAGGGGGTGGCCCTGGAGCCAAGGAGCTGAGCAGGGGCTGTGGGGACAGGCGCTGTCCCCAAGGAGTGTCCCCCCCACCCCCGTGTCCTGCGGTGCTCACTTTGTCCCTGTCCCTGTCCCCTCTGCGGTCCGGGCAGCACGGGCCGGGCCTGGAGGAGGCCAGCTTGGTGGGGACAGGGCGGTGTCCTTGCATGTCACCTCCAGCTCCTGCGCTGCCCCAACCTCCCAGTCCGGCTGTGCCAAGGTGCCAGGCTGGGCTGGCAGCCGAAGCTCCAGCGGGGCTCGGTGTCACCCCGCAGTGCCGGGGCTGCCCTGGGCTGCTCCCACCGCTCCCCCTCCGTCCCTCTCTGCCTTTGGGATTCGCACCCTCCTCCTCCTCCTCCCGTTCTGCCCCGGCCACTGGGGACTCCCGGCCCCGCTCGTCCCCTCGCCCCGTTCGTGCCAGGGCTGCCCACCCTGCTCCTGCCCCTTCTGCCCCACTGGTGCCACCCCAGGGGACAGCTCTGGCCGTGGGGCGAGGTGCATGCGACAGCTTTGCCCGCAGCCGCACGCAGGAATTAACCCTTAGAGCCCCGCTGCCGGGGCTGGCTGGTCCCCGCAGAGCCCCGAGCCAGCGGTAGTTACCTCACTTGATTAACTTAATTAACTTATTTGTTTCATTAAAATTTGGAGTAGAGGCTGCCCCGCCTGCTGCTGTCTGTCTCCCGGTGCTCCCGAGAGGTGGCACTCCAGCCTTGTCACCGAGCCGCGGCCAGGGGACAGAAACGTCCGCCCGGGGGACACAAATGTCCGGCAGGGGACACAATTGTCCAGCAGGGGACACAAATGTCCAGCAGGGGACACAAATGTCCGGCAGGGGACACAATTGTTCAGCAGGGGAGGGGACACAAATGTCCAGCAGGGGACACAAGTGTCCGGCCGCCTCCCTGATCCCCTGAGCTGCAGAAACGCCCCGAGATGGGGTTGGGGGCGCAGCTCCAGCTCGTTCTCCCTCCCCAGCTCCATCCTGTGCCCGGGGGGTGCGGGGCTGTTGGCACTGCAGAAAGACCCGGCGCTGCTTTTTTGTCACCTTACACGGAGGACTCGCTGCCCCGGCAAGGGCTGTGCCCCACCTGCCTATTTGGGATGTCCCCTCCAAATGGCGACGTCGCTGCGATGTCCCCAAGGTCATGCCAGGGAGGTGAGGGTGGAGCCGCTTCCCCAGGAGCCCCAAAAGCCGGGAGGGACAGCAAAGTTTCACGCCGTGGCTGAGGTGGCAGCCCTGGGGACAGCAGGTCCCACGGGTCGGGGGCTGGGGCGGCCCCTCCCGTGCCGCTGGGCCGGGAGGAAGCCGGGGCTGGCCGCGGCTCGGTCCTGCCTTTCCTGGCTGCTCCTGCCAAGAAACTCGCTCCGGGATCGCCTCGGAGCCAAACCCTGCGGGGGCAGCACCTCCGTGCCCCGCTCGGGGATGGGGGGCTCGGGGGGGCTCCAGCAGCCCGGTTCTGTGGAGTGCCCCACGCGTGGGCTGCTGTCGTTGTGGGGATGGCTTTGGGGGGCTCTGCACCGGCCCCTCGCGGTGTTCTCAGAGGGGTGGGCGGCTTTCCCGAGTGGGTTGGGGGGGGGATCCATCCCTGCAGTGTGGGATCTTCACCCCGCACCCCGCGGGGTGGCGGCTCGGCAGAGCCCGCGTGGGTTCGTGGGGCATCCAGCGCCAACCCAGCGGGGTGTGGGGGGTCTTCCCGTGGTTCTGAGCACCGGGGACGGGGTCCTGGCGGCTCGTCCCTCCCTCGGCACGGTGGCACAGGCAGGGCAGGGGTGTGTGCCAACCCTCGGCTCTGCCTCCCGCCGTCCCACGGGCACAAGGTGCCCTGGCAGGACTTTGTCCCCATCCAGCGTGGCTGCCCCACGTGTGCCGAGGCTGCCACTCCCCGCAGAGGCGACACGCGCGGGGGGGAGACGCTGGCGTCAGAGTGCCACCGAGGGAGCGGTGACCCGGCAGGGCCAGCTGGCCAGAAACTGGGTGAGGGGATGCTCCAAACACTTGGACCGACGCCGCCGCCGCCTCCGCGCAGCGCCACTTATCAGCTGGCATGGGGACAGGGTTGTTACGGGAACCATCAGCTGCTCCCTCAGCACCCCACGGTGTCCTCTGAGCTGTCCGGGAGCTGGCGGGGACACAAGGACACAGAGCGGTGGCCGGGGATGTCCTTTGTGCGAGTGGTTTGCTTTGTTCTCCGGGGGTCTTGGGGGCAATTCGTGACTCACTGTGGATTCCTGCGTGTCCAGTCATGCTGGAGACAGCCGGACTCTGGGCTGGACCCAGTTCCTTCCTGCCGAGCTCCGGCTCCGCGCTGCCCAAGGACGCGCTGACAGGAAAAGGCCCTTCCAAGAGCGCTTGGAAAAGGGGCTCCCTGCCCAGGGGGCTCCGCAGGACCCTTCTTGGGGCACCCAGAGCACCCCGGGGAGCAGCCAGCCCCCGTGCCCGGCGGGATTTGCTGCTCCCCTCTTCCACTCACTTCCCCGGCACGATCGCGGCGTGCCCGCCGTGGGCTCGGCCAGCAGCCCGTGGCTCGTAGCCCGTGGGCCGCGGTCGCCCGGGGAAGCCCCCGGTGCTCCCGTCCTGGCTGCCGTGAGGCATCCTCGAGGAATCCTCTGGCACTGCGGGAGATGCTCCCGGCGAGGCAGGGCGGCTGCGCTCCCCGGTTTGTACCGGCAGGTGCTGGTGCCGCGGGGACACCGGAGGGGACAGCGGAGCCTGGGAGGTGGCCAAGACCCCCCCTGTTTGTGTCCCCGAGCGCTGGCAGCGGGGACATGGCGCTGGATCCAAGTGACACCAGCTCCATGCCCTGGGCTGGGCTGGGGTGTCCCTGTCTCAGCTGTACCCCTGGAAGGGTGGGAAATGCAGCCCCCTCCCCTCATTTCCACACACCTGGGGAATGGGGAAACCCCCCAGGACATCTCCCCCCGCACGGAGCAGGGGGTGCTGCCCCATAACCGGGACCCCCCGCCCCAAATTTGGCGAGGGCATTGCCGTGGGGGCACCGGGAGGGGATCAGGAAACGGGGGGACACCCCGGCACCGCGGGGATAGAGGAGGCCACAAGTTCGGGGCTCCGTTCTACCACCCCAGGCCCGACCCCCGCCCCGCCGCGCTCCGCCCCGGGCCGGTCGCGGCTGCCCCGGCGCCTCCCCGCGCCCCCCCGGCCGGGGCGCGGCTATAAGGAGCGGCGGGGCCGGCGGCGGGCGCGGAGCGGCGGGCGCGGCAGGTACGGGACGGGCTCGGGGGAACGGGGTGGGGCTGGGGGGGGGTGCCAGGCAGGAGGAGAGACGGGGGTCCCGCCCCATGAGGGATCCCAGACCCCGCACTCTTCTCCCGGGGTCTCTGTGCGGCGGGCGCGGTTGGTACAACCGGGAACGGGGAGAGGGGTCCCACCCCGTGGGATCCCCGTGGGCACCGCGTGGGTTCCCGGGTCACCCTCCCCGCTTTACCGGGGTCCCGGCTGCCCCCACGCCGCAGGAGGGGTGGGCACGGCCGGGGGAAGGAGCCGGCAGGAGGGGGTGCCCCCGGATTGTCCCCACCGGCCTCTTTTGGGGTCCCCATCACCCCCCTGGGCCCCGCGGGCTGAGACCTGGCAGCTCATGGCTCTGCCCGCGGTGGGGGCGTTAGGAACGGGCTCCGGGCAGCCCCCCCGAGTGTCCCGGGGAGCCCCTTCCCGTGGGGGTTTGATTTTGGAGCCGCTGCTGAAGGGGTTGGGCGGGCACGGGGCCCCTCGGCCGCCGGGATGTGCGGAGCTGGGGTGGGGGAAAGGCTGTTTTGGAGCTTGAGCTGCGCGGTCACAAGGGGAATTACAAAACCGGAATGTTTTGAGGAGCCTGGGGAGGGCAGGGTGGGAGCAGCGCCCACCCCGCGGTGGGGCTGGCGCGGCCTCACTGCGCTCCCTCCGCAGGTGCGGGGACATGAGCGGGGACATGCGGGCCCTGCTGTGCCTCTGGCTGGTGGCCCAGGTGGCCCTGGTGGCCCAGGTGGCCGTGTCCTCCCGGCTCCGCACCCGCCGGGAGCTGGGCCCGGGGCTGTACCAGCACGGGGTGTACGACGCCGGCGGCTCCTACTGCCAGCGCGGGGACGTGTGCTGCCGCGGCCGCGACGACGCCTGCACCGTGCCCTACCACGACACCCTCTGCTACTGCGACCTCTTCTGCAACCGCACCGTCTCCGACTGCTGCCCCGACTTCTGGGAATACTGCCTGGGCATCCCGGCGCCCTTCCCCAAAGCCCCAGGTGAGGCTCGCCCCTCGCTGGGGGCCAGCCCGGGGTGCTGCTGCTGCTCCTCGGGGTGATGGTGCTGCACCCCTCGCTGCGGACCCCGCAAAGCTGTGGGGAGTCCTGCAGAATGTCCTGGATGGGGATGGACTCGCTGAAAAAGAGGTGTGGGAGCAGCCAGTGAGCCCAAAACCGCTCCCAGGGGAAGCGGCTGCTCCAGCAGCGCCTGCGGGCGGAGCGGGGACGTGAGGGGACATGCGGGGACTCCATCGCGGCTGGCCCGGTCACGTCCGGGGCAGGCAGAGATGCTGGCCCCGCTTTAACCCGGGGGCGAGCGGGGGGCACGGGCAGCACAAGGCGCTCTCAGAAGTGCCGGCGGAGCAGCGCCAGCTCCCGGGCACAACCGGCCCCTTTATCCCCGTCCCGCCGGGCTGAGCCCTTTAACCCTCCCGGTGCCGGACCAGCCCCGCTCCCACCCTGCACCCGCTGACCCCCAGCAGAACTTTAGGGGTGCAGGCTGGATTGAAGAACGGCGTTGATTTTCCCTTCGCTTTGCACCCCCGGGAATTTGGGGGGCTGGTGGGACCCCCTGGCACAGCCAAGCGCTCAGCAGGGGCTCTCCGGTTACCGTGCAGGCTGTGCCCGTGCCGGACGCGATTATCCCCCCGGAGCCACGTACCGGGAGAACTGCAACCTGTGGTGAGTGAATGCCACGCGTGTCACCAGCGTGTCACCAGAGGAAGGTGTCCTCAGAGCGAGGCCCGAGCTGGGTGGTGGGAGCTGCTCACAAAATGCCTTTGCTCCAAAAAATTCGGAGCCAAGAGCCTTGAGCTGCCTGCCACGCGTGCCCCGCGCTGCCCACGGGGGTTTTGGCCACTCTGGTGCCAACCCAGCTTGCCCAAACCTGACAGGGCCGCTTGGGCAGCCACGGGCAGCGGTCAGAGTGCGGCTGTGCCGCCCGCTGGGAGCTGCCGGAGCTGCCGCTGGGTAAAACTGGGAATTCTGGCATTCCTGGTATGCGGAGGTGGGGAAAAGGGGAACCCGCCGGAGACGAGGATTGAACCCGGAGGGGCGATGCGGCAGATAAGCGCGGATCAAAGGCAGCGTCTGGGCCGTGTGCGAGGGCAGGGCACGTGTGGGAACATGTGTGTGCGGGTGAAAAGGCAGCCCGAGCCTCCCCACAGCTCCGGGAGCTTCCCCGGGATGGTGGCGAGGAGCACTCGGGGATGGCGGTGTCCCCGTCCCCCGGGGAATGGCAGTGTCCCCAAGCCGCGCAGGTGGATGTTGTGCCTCTGCTGCTGGGGAAGGAGCAAATCTTCCCCTCCAAACCCTCCTCCCCCACTCTGGGTGTCTGGAGAACAGGAATTTCTGAGCGTCTCACCCCCGCCCCTCTCCCTCTGGGGTCCCGCTGGGGTGGGGTGGGTGGCAGGGGACAAAACCCACACAGAGTGTGGGCACCCAGCTGGTGGCACCCTGAGGTGCTGCCAAGTCCTCAGGTGTCACCCAGAGCGCTCGGGGATGGATGGGGGAGCGCTGCAATCCAGGTGCTGCCGGCGGGATTGGGATTGGGATTGGGATTGGGGGGGTCTGGAGGGCCACGGCTCAGCTCAGCTCCATAAAAGGGAAATGTGCCGGGATCTGGGCAGGAGGGAACATGCCAAGCATTGCTCAGAGCACGGGGGGGGCACAGCCCGGGGCTCCCCAGGGGACCCACCACACCCCCAGACCCCCCCACCCGGCCCGGCTGTCCCCATGGAGTGACCTGGTCACTGTGGGTGACCCATGGGGACCCCCGGCCCGACCCCCGGGCTGCTGTCCGAGCCCCTCTCGCATGTTTGGAGCCCTGGCAGATTTTCAGCTGATTTGCTGTCCCGTGGCCTGTCTGCCCTCAGGGCTCCTGCGAGGGCTGGGACAGGGGGGGGACAGTCCCAGGGTCACCCAGAGGCCACCCAGTGCCACCCAAAGGCCGCTCAGGGTCACCCAGAGGGTGATGTGCCAAGCCCTGGTGACCCGTGACAAAAGCAGCCCGGAGCCCCTCGCTGGCTGCCCAACTTGGGAGGGTCAGCGCCCACTCGGGGTCCCTCCGGTCACCCTGGGGACATCATTTCTCGCGGGCTGTCCCCTCCGCAGCACCTGCGGCCCCGGCGGGCAGTGGCAGTGCGAGGACCGCGCCTGCCTGATGGACGGGGAGCTGATCGATGCCATCAACCGCGGCAATTACGGGTAAGGAGCGGGCACAGGGTGGCACAGGGTGGCACAGGGTGGCACAGGGTGGCACAGGGATGCCTCACCCCCCGCTGCTTTTTGGGGTAACCCCTTTTTCCCCACGCAGCTGGAGAGCCGCGAACTACAGCCAGTTCTGGGGGATGACCCTGGAGGACGGGATCCGGCACCGTTTGGGCACCTTCCGCCCCTCTCCCACCGTCATGAACATGAACGAGCTGCATGTGAGTCCCCCCCGCACCCCGGGGGGAAACTGAGGCACGCCAGGGGTTATCCCTGCCCATCGCAGCATGGAAGGGGTTCCCAGAGGAGGGGGAGGAGGCAGGGCAGCCCTGGTGTTTGGAGACAGCGGCTCAGCAAATTCCCCCGGACAATCCCCGCGCTGCCAGTGTTGTTTTTTCCCCCCTCTCCTCCGGGTCGCTTTCCCATCGGAACTCTGGCCCCGCCGCTGCTGACTCAGCACTCTGTCTCTTTGCCTCTGCCCGCACCCAAAGGCGGGGTGAGCACCCCCGGGGGTCCCTGGGGTGCTGGCAGAGCTCGGGGTGCTCCCAGCCCCGCTCTCCGGAGCCCGAGGTTTCATTTTAGAGGCGCTTCCTGCGCCGGGAGGTTGTGGCCGTGCCCCCCCAGGAAAGCCGGGGACAGAAAGGCTGAGCCGGGGGACACCGCGAGGGGCTGTGGCACCCAGGGCTGTCCCCTTGCTGGGACACTCGGGGCTGCTGTGGGACCGCCGAGCACAAATTTCGGGGAAATTGAGGGGTGTGGCTTTTCTGGGATAAAGGGGAACCCAAATCTTTGTCGCTCATGGTGGTGCCCCTGTCCTGAGGGGCCTCGCTGTGAAGCTGGGGACACAAAACCTGGGTGGGGACAGTGCTGAGAGGATGGCTGGGGTGGCAGGGGGAGGATTTGGGGTCCCATAGCGGGGCTGGGGACACAAAACCTGGGTGGGGACTCTGCTCAGAGGATGGCTGGGGTGGCAGGGGGAGGATTTGGGGTCCCATAGTGGGGTTGAGGACACAAAACCTGGGTGGGGACTCTGCTCAGAGGATGGCTGGGGTGGCAGGGGGAGGATTTGGGGTCCCATAGTGGGGCTGGTGACCATTTCAGGGTGGCTGGGGTGGCAGGAGGGGGACAGGGGGTCCTACCATGGGGCTGGGGACACAAAACCTGTGTGGGGACCGTCTCAGAGGAGGACATGGGGTCCCACCACGGGGCTGGGGACACAAAACCTGGCTGGGGACCATCTCAGAGGAGGACATGGGGTCCCACCACGGGGCTGGGGACACAAAACCTGGCTGGGGACCATCCCAGAGGATGGCTGGGGTGGCAGGAGGAGCTGGGGGGGTCCCGGCGGGCTGAGCCCCCCACCCTGCCCCGCAGATGAACATGGACTCCAACGAGGCGCTGCCGCGGCACTTCGACGCCGCCGCCAAGTGGCCCGGGATGATCCACGAGCCCCTGGACCAGGGCAACTGCGCCGGCTCCTGGGCCTTCTCCACGGCCGGTGAGGGGCGCGGGGCGGGCACGGCGGGCACGGGGACACGGTGACGGAACCGCCACCCCCTGACCCCCCGCTCGCCCCCAGCCGTGGCCTCGGACCGCATCTCCATCCACTCCATGGGGCACATGAGCCCCGCGCTGTCCCCCCAGAACCTCCTGGCCTGCGACACCCGCAACCAGCGCGGCTGCAGCGGCGGCCGCCTGGACGGGGCCTGGTGGTACCTGCGCAGGAGGGGGTGAGCGGGGGGGGGCTGTGGGGTGGGGTCTGTGGGGTGGGTGGGATGGGATCCTTGGGATGGGATCCTTGGGATGGGATCCTTGGGATGGGATCCTTGGGATGGGATGGGGTGGGATGGGATGGGATGGGATGGGATGGGATGGGATGGGATGGGATGGGATGGGATGGGATGGGATGGGATGGGATGGGATGGGATGGGATGGGATGGGATGGGATGGGATGGGATGGATGGATGGGATGGGATGGGATGGGGTGGGATGAGATGGGATGGGATGGGATGAGATGGGATGGGATGGGGTGGGATCCATGGGATGGGATGGGATCCATGGGATGGGATGGGGTGGGATCCGTTGGATGGGATCCTTGGGATGTGGTGGGATCCATGGGGTGGGATGGGATGGAATGGGATGGGATCCGTGGGATGGGATGGGGTGAGCGGGGTGGAGTCCATAGGATGGGATGGGATCCATGGGATGGGATCCATGGGATGGGATCCATGGGATGGGATCCAGGAATTGGGATGGGATGGGATTCATGGAATGGGATCCATGGGATGGGATCCATGGGATGGGATGGGATGGGATGGGATGGGATCCATGGGATGGGATGGGGTGGGATGGGATGCAGGACAGCGTGCAGAGGGGTTTGGGACAGGGGTGGGCAGTGGGGTTTGGGATCAGGGTGGGAGTGGGATCAGAGTGGAGATGAGAGTGGGCTTTGGGGTGAAGGTGGAAGTGTGGATTGGGATGGAGATGAGAGCGGGTTTCGGGCTGGGAATGGAAGAGGGATTTGGTGCGGGGATGGAGAGTGGGCTCGTTATGGGGGTGGGATTGGGATGGGGCTGGAAGTTTGCTTTGGGATGAGGACGGAGCCGGTCCTCCCCCTCCTCCAGAGTGGTGACAGACGAGTGCTACCCGTTCACGAGCCAGCAGAGCCAGCCCGCGGCTCCGCCCTGCATGATGCACAGCCGCTCCACGGGCCGGGGCAAGCGACAGGCGACAGCGCGGTGCCCCAACCCCCAGACCCACTCCAACGAGATCTACCAGTCCACCCCCGCCTACCGCCTCTCCTCCAGCGTGAGCGCCGGGCCCGGGGGGAGCTGGAACCCTTTGGGAGCGGGAGGGGGCTTGGCTCGGGCTGCTTTACCTGGGAAAACCGAGCTCGGGAATGCGGCTGGGAAAACCCCGCTCCCCGCGGGCTCCTCCGCCCGCCACCTCCACCGCAGCCGCCCGTGGGTGCTGGAGCAGCTCTGCTGCATCCCTGGGGGTGGCGAGGGCAGTGCCGGGGGTCCCGGCCCCTCTGCCACCCGCTGCCACCCGCTGCCACCCGCTGCCGCCCGCTGCCACCCGCTGCCACCCGCTGCCACCCTGTTCTGTGCTTGCAGGAGAAGGAGATCATGAAGGAGCTGCTGGAGAACGGCCCCGTGCAAGGTACGGAGCTGGCGGGGGCGTCCTTTTCTGCGCCCCAAAAGATTTTGGGAACAAGGCGGGGCTGGAAAATCGCTCTGTCCGGGCTGGGGGAGCTGTGGTGGCAGCCAGAACCACGCTCAGCCGCTCGCCCTGCGTGCCCGGGCAGCGCTGCCCCAGTGCCCGTCACGCTGCCCGCCCCAGCGGGCACCGGGTTGCTCATTAACTCCTGAGATTTAATCACCGTCTTGGCAGCTGCTGCGTTTGTTGCGCTTTATTTTTTTTTCCCTTCTGAAACCTCCTCGGAGCGTTGTGGCATCGCCCCGGGGAGGATCCGGCTGCCGCTGGGAATGCGCCCCTCCGTGTCCCTTCCCTGGGGACAGCGGCGGTGTCCCCAAACGCTGTCACCCTCCCCGCAGCCATCCTGGAGGTGCACGAGGATTTCTTCATGTACAAGAGCGGGATCTACCGGCACACGCCCGTGGCCGAGGGGAAGGGCCCGAAGCACCAGAGACACGGGACCCACTCGGTGAAAATCACCGGGTGAGCGTGGGGGTGGCCTGGGGGGGGGGTCCGGCTGGCAGAAATGTCCCCTTTGGGATGGTGGCACAAGTGGCACGAGTGGGGCGCTCAGCACGCCGGAAGGAGGGTGGCAGCCGCCGGGTTGGAGGTGCAGACCCCATTTTGGGGGTGTGGGGGAGGGGGAATCTGCCCTGTGCCGCTGTTTCCTTCCTCCAGCCGTGGCTAAAAATTCCTGCCCCTATTCCGGGAGCGGATGTCCCAACCTCGGCCTGGCCCTGGGGAGGTGCCGGGGGCAGGAAACGAGCAGGGGCAGCCCCCCCATCCCACCACGGTGCTGGGTGGGGGGATCCCACAGTCTGGGGGTGCTTGGGGACCCCCCCTCACCGTCCTGTCCCGCTGCAGGTGGGGAGAGGAGCAGCTGCCTGATGGCCAGACCCAAAAATACTGGGTGAGTTTAGGGGGGGCTCAGCCGTGGGGTGCTGCCGCTTCCCCTCGTCCATGTGGGGTCCGGCTTGACTTTTTTTTTGGGGGGTGTCACCGCGCTGAGCGTGTCCCCTGTCCCCTCTGCAGACGGCGGCCAACTCGTGGGGCACGGCGTGGGGCGAGGGCGGCCACTTTCGCATCGCCCGCGGCATCAACGAGTGCGAGGTGGAGACTTTCGTGGTGGGGGTCTGGGGCCGCGTCAGCATGGAGGACATGCCCCACAAGTGAGCCCCCCACCCCACCCGCGATGTCCCTGTCCCCCGGCCGGGGGGCTGCGTGTCCCCGCTGTGCTGACACAGCGGCTGGGGGGCACTGGGGCGTGCGAGGGGGGTGCTGCTCCCGTCTCCCGTGGGATTTAGCCGCTAATCCCCCCGCCCCGGGCTCGGCTCTTCAAAGGCAGCTGCACCCCCCACCCCACCGCAAATCCCGGCTGGGGGTGTGGGATCCCCCCCTCCCCCCCTTTTCCCAATGGGAAGGGACCCCCAACATTCCTGCCCCTCCCAGCAGGGCAGCGCTGGAGTTGGGGTGTGAAATAACCCAATTGGGGGGGGTCCCCTGAGCCCCCAGGGCTGGGTGTCGCCAGGATGGGGTCCCCCCCCAGCCCGTCCCTATGGTGCTATGGCCCTGCCACCCCCCTGGGGGACAGCAGGGACAAGGGGGGGCTCAGCCCCGTGGTGTCCCCATCCTGGTGGGGTCACGAGTGGGGTCCAGCACAGCCCGGGACCTCCCCCTGCCCTCCCCCCCCCACCCAAGGGCTGTACTTTTAAGACATTTTTTTGTATTTATTTTGCTTTTTATTGTTTGTAAATAAAGTTCTGGAAGGCTCAGAGCGCAGAGGGTGGACTCAGTGCTCCGAGGGGGACGCGTGGCCCCTGTCACCCCCGGCGGGGGTGGCCTCGGGAAGGGCTGGGGGGGTGAGATAAGGCCCCGCTCATTGTTCACCTTCCGGCCCCGCCGCTCCGGCCAGCGCGGCCAGCGCGGGACACGCGCGGCCACCAGGGCCACCAGGGCCACCAGGGCCACCAGGGCCAGGGGGTCACCACGGCCAGAAGTGCCACCATGGGCAGCTGTGTCACCATGGCCAACTGTGCCACCACGGGCAGCTGTGCCACCACGGGCAGGGGGGTCACCACGGGCGGCAGTGCCACCACGGACAGCTGTGCCACCACAGCCAACTGTGCCACCACGGACAGCTGTGCCACCACGGGCAGCTGTGCCACCGCACCCAGCTGTGCCACCAGGGCCAGGGGGTCACCACGGGCGGCGGGGTCACCACGGGTGGCAGTGCCACCACAGCCAGAAGTGCCACCATGGGCAGCTGTGCGACCACGGCCGGCAGTGCCACCACGGGCAGCTGTGCCACCATGGTCAGCAGTGCCACCACAGCCAGAAGTGCCACCACTGCCGGCAATGCCACCATGGGCAGCTGTGCCACCACGGGCAGCAGTGCCACCACGGCCAGAAGTGCCACCGCACCCAGCTGTGCCACCACAGCCAACTGTGCCACCACGGCCGGCAGTGCCACCACGGCCAGCAGTGCCACCATGGGCAGCTGTGCCACCATGGGCAGTAGTGCCACCACGGCCAGAAGTGCCACCGCACCCAGCTGTGCCACCACGACCAGGGGGGTCACCACGGCCGGCAGTGTCACCGCACCCAGCTGTGCCACCACAGCCAGATTTTCCCACCAAATTCACCGTGCACAGCTGGGTGTGCCACCACGGTCAAACGTGCCACCGCAAGTGCCACCACAGTGAGATGTGCCACCACGTCCAGGCGTGTCCCCACGACCCCCGTGTCCCTGCAGCCGCCCCGCCCCATCCCCGGCGTGGCGCTGGGGCTGTTGTCGCCTTTTCCAGGGCTCGGCACTGCTGGCGGTCCCTGTCCCTCTCCGTGTCCCCCCCTCGGGTCCCCCAAAGGGTGACACTGACGGCGTGGGGGGGTGGCGCCACCCGGTGGTGGCTGCCTGCAACTGCAGGGGGGTGTGTGTATAGATTTATATATTTAAAAAATACGTATAAATATCTGTATTATGTATAGATTGAGATATAGATGTGCATAGATATGTCTGCGTGTATATATATATATAAAAAATATATATTATACATGTGTATATGTATATATGCATATATATTTATATTTATATATACAGATGCCTGTTTGTGTTCAGCCCTGAACACCCCCTTATATATTTTTTAATATATATATGTATATATATACATCTCTCTGTGTGTATATATACCTTTATATTTATATATATATATGCAAAAAACACCCTGCATATATTTTTATATGTGAATATATGTACATGTAACCACAGCCGTTTATATTATATAATATATAATATAAATATATAATGGAAATATATTATATGTTATATAATATATATAATGTAATATATATTGTATAATACATAATGTGTAATGTATATATAATATAATATTAATATATATATTATATATTATATAGATAATATATAATAATATATAATATATATTATACTATATATTATATAGTATACACAATATAGTGTATAGTATACACAATAAATAAAATGTATCTTATATAAGATATAAAATATATATTATATATAATCTATACTATATGTATCTTATATATATCACATGCACGTGTCTAGGTATTTACATATACACATGTGTGCATATAGAAACACATGCCTTTATATATTTTATATATATTTATATATTTATATATTTATTTATATATTTTTTTATATATGTATATATATATATACATGCAGTTTTTTATATATTTATGTGTATCTATCTATATGTACATGTATGTATATATATATTTAAAAATGCCTGTATATATATTTATACTTGAAAATATGCATGTATACACACCTATATATATATGTATGTATATGTACACTAGTGTATATATATAATATATATTATATATTATATAAAAATAAAATTATATATTTTATATTTTTTTATATATTTACATATATACACACATACACGTATATATATATACCTGTATGTTGTATATATATAAATATATAAAAATATATATTATGCAGGTATATTTTATATATATATAATATGTATGTATTTTTAAATATATTTATATGTATTTTATATATACTTATATATGTATTTTATATTTTTAGATATTTTTAATATATAAAATATATATAAAATACACACATCTATGTATAAAATATATAAAACTATATGTAGTTAAAATAAATATAATAATATACATAGATATATGTATAGTTTATACATGTATCTATACATAAAATATATATAAAATATATAAATATCTATAAAATCGGTATTTATAGATGTATTTACAGCCCCCCAAGCCCTCAGCCTCCAGCCCAAGCAGGGCTGAGCTGTGACTCAGCAGCAATATTGGAATTATTCAGGGGAAAATATCCTCGGAATGCTCGAACAGCCCGTCCCGCCCGGGCTGGGCTCTTCCTTCTCATCCCAGACCTTTTCACCTTTTATTCCCTAAAAAATTCCTCCAAATCTCTTGGAGATTCCTCCGGGAAATTCCAGCTTCGTCCCCCGGGAAGAAAACTCCGGCACGGGGGAGAAAACTCCGGCACAGATCGGATTTTTCTGCACGTCAGGAGCCCCTCCCCAGCCCTTTATTTCCTATATTTGGACATGAAATTCCCAAGAATTGATTTTTGGGATTGGGGTCCAGCCCTGGAGCCCCCACAGAGACCACGGAGCAGCCGGAGCACAACACGTTTTATTCCCAAGCTGGAAAAACCGAGCCCTAAACTCGCCTGGATTTGGCTTTGGGATTGGCAACAACGAGGGGATGATCCCACGGGGCTGCAGCAGCACATCCCATTCCAGCACCCCCCCAAAAAATAGGAATGAGACCCCCAGAAAAGAATTCCCAGGGTGGGACGCGCTCCCAGGGCACTCAGGGAGGGAAGGGCTGAATTTTATCCTCATTTTTCCCCTTTCCTGCTGCTTCCCAACCCAAGGTTCAGCTTTTCCTCCCCGAAACGGGGATGCTCTGCTGCAGGATCTTGGGATGAAGCTGGAATTTGGGGCTGGCACGGGATTTGAGCTGGTTTGGCCATCCCAGTTTGGCGTGGGATTCATCCTCCGTGGGATTCCCACAGAACGAGCACAAAAAATTCCAAGCCAGGAAAAAACCCCCAGTGGGATTTGGGGTTGGATGAAGGAGGCGGAAATTATGGCTGGAGCTCCTGGAGAGCTGCTGAATTCCCAGATTTCGGAGCAGGGAATGTCAGAGCATGCGGGTGACCACCAGATGCTCTGCTGCAGGACCTCGGGATGAAGCTGGAATTTGGGGCTGGCACGGGATCTGAGCTGGTTTGGCCATCCCAGTTTGGCGTGGGATTCCCACAGAACGAGCACAAAAAAATCCAAATCAGGAAAAAACCCCAGTGGGATTTGGGGTTGGATCAAGGAGGCAGAAATTTGGCCCCGAGTGGGGGGAACTCCTAGAAGGGCTCAGCCACATCCAAGGGGAAGGTGAGGATGGCTGGAGCTCCTGGAGAGCTGCAGAATTCCCAGATTTTGGAATGTCAGAGCATGCGGGTGACCACCATGGTGAGGAACTCCTCGTAGCTGAGGCGGGCGCTCCCCGCCATGGCCGCGTCCTTCTCGCGGAAGGCGTCAGTGAGGCTCTGCAGCTGCATGCAGATGTGGATGAAGCGGTCCAGTTGGATACTGGGATGGGCACTGGGAGAACGTTGGGAGTAGCGGGCCAGCAGCAGCTGGCTGAACTGGGGGCTCAGGTTGTAGCCCATCTGGGAGAAAGCTGGGAGCAAGGAAAATTCGGATTAAACCTTCCCAAAGGGACGAGGAGTGGCCGTGATAATGACTGCAAGACATTAATATTCCCATTTAAGAGTTCAAATGGTATCACCAGACAGTCTAAAGAGGATGGAAAATGATAATTAGATTTTTCCACATTCTTGGCCCTTAGGAGGTACCAGCCCAGTTATATAATCCTGGTTTTTTTGGGGTTTTTTTTTGTTAAACTTGTTTGAGAGCACTTGAGTTGAGCTGACTTTCTTTCCCCACTGGACACACTCCCTCCCCCATGTCCCACACATCCCCACCCACCTCCCACTCCCACCACGCTTCCCACTCAGGGTGTGCACGGGCAGAGCTCTCCAGAGGAATCAAACCACAAATCCCAGGCATTTTTCCCTTTTCCACACACATGCAGGACTCTCCAGACCACAAGTTCAGGCATTTTTCCCTTTTCCACACACCTGCAGGGCTCTCCAGACCACAAATCCCAGACATTTTTCCCTTTTCCATACACCTGCAGGGCTCTCCAGACCACAAATTCAGGCATTTTTCCCTTTTCCAACACCTGCAGGGCTCTCCAGAGGAATCAAACCACAAATTCCAGGCATTTTTTCCCCTTTTCCACACACCCAAGAGCTCCTCCCAAAAACCAAGCTCCAGCCACTCATCGCTTAGCAGGAATTCTGGCCTTCCTGAAGGAACTTTGTGCCCCAATCCTGCTGCAGCTCATCACCTCCTGTCCCCTGGGGAAGCACCGTGGTTTATCCCGTGGATAATTCCCAATTCTTCAGAAGCGCCCCAGGAGCTCAGAGCCCCCCGAGCGCGGCTGCAGGGACTGCAGCAGGAGGAATTCCAGTTTCCAGCTGGGAACAGAGGCTGTGGGGGGGTCAGGCTGGTGGCTGTGCCCCTCACCCACCTTGCTGGAGCTCGCTGAAGCTGATGGAGCCGGACTGATCCCGGTCGTACTGCTGGAAGAGGCTCCTCCAGCTCTGGATGAAGCGCAGAAGGGCGGAGAAGCCGTAGACGTCGATGCGCCCCGACCGCGTCTTGTCGAACATGTCTGGGCAGGGAGGAGCAGGAACAGGGCAGGGAGGAGTAGGAAAGCTGCAGAAACTTCCAGGGAGCTCAGGATCCACGCCATGGCTCCCTGGAATCATGCTCTGATCCCAAAAATCCCCCTCGCCACGACTGCGATCGATGGGACCGTTCAACCCCCAAGCTGGTAAGAAACGGCACCAAAAGAAACTGGGGCAAGCTCTGGGTCAGTCTCCACGTTTTTTGGGCTTCCCTTTTCTTTCCTCCCTGTTTTTCTGGGATTTGGGGCTTGTGTAGAGCTGGGATTTCCTATCTGGGCCCTTCACTCATGTCCTGCACCGCTGGTTTGCCCGGCTCTGCCTCCAGCCGGGAGCGGTGCCCAGGGAAAAAGGGGAATTCTGCCAGCATGGGCTTCACCCCAAACCCAACCAAACCAGCTGAGGAGAGGGGCAGGAGACCCCAGACTCACTGATCATGAGCAGACAGGTCTCATCGTTGAACGAGGACCAGTTGTTGTTGACCAGAGCCTGCTTCAGCTCCTTGACGGAGATGAACCCGCTGTGGTCCGTGTCCACCGTCTGGAACCAGGAGAAGGCCTCGGGATCCACCCCCGGGGGGGCATTCCCTGCGTGGGGAGAGGCCATCGCCGCTGTCACCTTCCCCTCGGCCGGCCACGGGCTGGGCTGGCCCCGGGGGTGGCTCCCAGGGCTGGGCAGAGCTTCTCCTCCCACGGGTTTTACAGGGAGAAATCCCGGGAGGAATCCCGGGAGAAATCCCGGAAGAACGGGGCAGGAAGGGCTGGGATAGCACGGAGCGACCGGAGCCGGGAGTGGGCTGGGAAGCAGAGCCCGGGATGGGCAGGGAGCCCCCCAAACCCGGCAGATGGATGTGGGGTGAAAGTTTTAGGGCTGCTTGGCACTTCCTCTTCCTCCTCCTCTTTCTCTTTTTCCTCCTCCTCTTTCCTCCTTTCCCTCCTCCTCTTCCTCCTCCTCCTCCTCCACGATTTCAAAACAATAAACCGGGACATGGAATTTCATTCTCGTGGTCCCTTCGGCCCCCACCCGAGCACCGGACCGGGCACCCCAAAGCCCCCCGAGCCCGCAGCGGGTTGGGGACCCCATCGCTCCCCACCTCTGTCCCGGGACCGCCGCGGGGAGAGCCCCGGACTCACCTCCCGGGGCCGGCCCGCCGTAGGGACCGGGCTGGGGGCCGCCGTAGGGTCCCGGGGGTGGCCCGTAGGGTCCCGGGGGTGGCCCGTAGGGTCCCGGGGGTGGCCCCCCGCCGTAGGGACCCCCGGGGTAGGGGCCGACCGGGGGGGGCTGTCCTGCGCCGGGGTAGCCCTGGGGAGGGGATAGAGCCGGTGTGAGACGGGCACCGGACACCGGGCACCGAGATGGGCACGGGGACAGACCCCTGGAACCCCTGAGCAACCCCCGGTCTCCACCCCAGATCAGCTCCCGGTACCATCCCCGCCCCGGTCAGCCCCGCTCCCGGTCTCGGTCCCGGTCACAGTCCCGGTCGCGCTCCCCGGTCCCACTCTCCGCTGTCTCTCCGGTCCCGCTCTCCGGTCCCCATTCCCCGCCCCTCGGTCCCGGTCGGGCTCCTTGCCGCCGCTCCTACTCCTCCGGTCCTACTCCCGGTCCCGGTCCCAGTTATCCGCCACCGCTCCTGGTCCCGATCCCGATCCCGATCCCCGTCCCGATCCCGATCCCGGTCCCGGTCCAGATCCCAGTCCCGGTCCAGGTCCCGGTCCCGGTCCCGGTCCCGGTCCCGGCTCCCTGCTACCACTCCCGGTACCGATCGCGATCCCGATCCCGGTCTCGGTCACGGTCCCGGTCCCAGCTCCCTGTCACCGCTCCTGGTCCCGATCCCGGTTCCGGTCCCCGTTCAGGTTCCGGTCCCGGTCCCGGTCCCCGTCCCGATCCCTGTCCCGGTCCCGATCCCAGTCCCGGTACCGGTTCCGGTCCCAGTCCCCGTCCCTGTCTAGGTCCCGATCCCTGTCCCGGTCCCGGTCCCGATCCTGGTCCCGGTCCCGGTCCCGATCCCTGTCCCGATCCCGGTCCCGATCCCGGTCCCGGTCCCTCTCCCGGTCCCGATCTCGATCCCTGTCCCTGTCCCTGTCCCTGTCCCGGTCCCGGTCCCGGTCCCGGTCCCGGTCCCGGTCCCTGTCCCTGTCCCGGTCCCTGTCCCTATCCCTATCCCGGTCCCGGTCCCGGTCCCTCTCCCGGTCCCTGTCCCTGTCCCGGTCCCGGTCCCGATCCCTGTCCCTGTCCCTCTCCCTGTCCCGGTCCCGGTCCCGGTCCCGGACCTGCCCCGGGTACGCCATAGCGCGTCTTCCGCCCCGGCCACGCCCCGATGACGTCACAGAAACGAGCAGCACCCATTGGCTACTCTGCTCAGTGACCACGCCCCTCGGGCGGGGCGGAGCCGCGCGGGAAGCGCGCGCCCGAGGGGCGCCTTAAAGCGGCAACGGCGGCTGGGCCGGGTGGGGCCCACCGGGCGGGAATGGCGCCGGGAGCTGCCCGGGAGCGGGGCTGGAATTCCCCGGGAACAGCCGGGATCGGGGCTGGAATTCCCCGGGAACAGCCGGGATCGGCCCGGGAGTGCGGCCAGCATCAGCCTGCGAGCGAGGCTGGCGACCCCACAAAACGAGCGCTGGGATTCCCCTGGCAGCAGGAGCGAGATCCCGCTAGGAGCTGGGCTGGGATGGCGGTCTGGGATTCCCGGGAATTCCAGGCATGATCCAAGAGCAGGGCTGGGGTCAGCCTGGGAGTAGGGCGAGAATCGCCACAAGAGCACGGGAATTAGTTTGGGGTTCCTGCAGGGGCAAGGCTGGGATCCCACCCCATGGCAGATCTCCCGGGATCGGGGCTGGGATGTGCTGGGATGAGAGCGGGATCCGCGCAGGGGTGGCGCTGGGATAACCCCAAATCACACAAATCACGGCTGGGACTGCCCCGAGACAGGGCCAGGATCCTGTGGGATCCTGTGGGATCAGGGCTGGGATCCCCCATCCATGCCAGGCTCACAGGGAGCTCAGGGTCACCGTGTCCCCAACCAGAGTGGCAACAGAACCGGCCCGAGCAGCATCCCTCGGTGCCAGGGTGGTGACACGGTGGTGACACGGCGGTGACACGGTGGTGACAGGCTGGGGAGGCGGCACAGACCCACCCGTGCCCATCACGGAGCCAGGAGCCGCGGGGGCACCAGCACTGGTGTATTTTTGGGGCAGGATCCACCCACCCCACCGCGATTACCACGGAGCTGTACAACCCCCGAGCCCCCCCGGCACCGGCACGCCCCCGGCACAGCGGGGAAACACAATTAACAATATTAACAGCAAATTCGGGGGGCCCGGGGGGCGCGGGGCCGCTCAGCCGAAGGGACCCTTGACGTTCTTGGGCTGGAAGAGCGGCTGCTCCATGGGCACGGCCCCCAGGCACTCGGCGGGGCTGCAGTGCCCCGTCTTGCCCGGTTGCCCCGTGGCACCGGGGGGACCGGGGATGCCCGGGATGCCCTGCTGCCCCACGGGGCCCGGGGGACCCATCTTGCCGTAGCCTGGTGGCCCTTGGGGACCTGGAAGAGATGGAGTGAAAGGGAGGTGGGGTGACAGGGTGAGGGGGTGGCAGCAAAGCTCAGGGTGGGGCTGGGGGCTCACCTGGGGGTCCCGGGGGGCCGCTGTCCCCCATCAGCCCCACGCCCTTCTCGCCTTTCTCGCCTTTGGCACCCGGCTCGCCTGGGGGAGAGGAGGATGGAGAGGAGGGGTGAGATCCTGGCACAGCCACAGCAGCCCAGTGCCAGCCCCGGGATTGAACTGGGGACACTGGGAACAGCCCAGGGACACTGGGAACAGCCCAGGGACACTGGGAATGTCCTAGGAACACTGGGAACAACCCGGGGACACTGGGAATGTCCCAGGGACACTGAGGGGGGGACACTGGGAATGTCCTGAGCACACTCGGAATGTCCCAGGGACACTGGGAATGTCCCGGGGACACTGGGAACAGCCCAGGGATACCTGGAACATCTCAGGGACACTCCTAATGCCCCAGGGACAGTGGGAACACCCCAAGGACATCGGGAACACCCCAGGGACATCGAGATCATGATGGGGACACCGGGAGCGCCCAGAGACACTTGGAACACTCCAGGAACACCGGGAACGTGATGGGGACGATAGGAACACCCCCCGAGACATCGGGAAATAGCCCTGGAAAACACCCCAGGGACATGGGGAGGGTCCTGGGGGCACCGGGAGCGCCCCGGGGTGGGGGGCACACGTACCCCGCATGCCCGGCACGCCCTGCCGCCCCTCTCTGCCGATCTGACCCGGCATCCCCGGGGAGCCGGGGGGTCCCGGCCGGCCGGGCAGCCCGTCCTTCCCGGGGGGACCGGGCCTGCCCGGGGATGCCACCATCTCCAGCGGGAATTGCAGCCGGGAGGTGTAATACGCCATCCGCTCTGCGGGGACACGGAGCCGGCTCAGCCGGAGGGGACGCGGGGACGGTCCCCGGGCCTCGCGGCCACCCCCCTCCCCCCGTTACCGTCAAACATCTTGTTCAGCTCCTGCCGGATGAACCTCTTGACCTCGTCGTAATTCACCACATCTCCCTGCGGGGACACCAGGGGACAGGCGAGGGGCCGCGGCCACCGCGCCCCGCCGCAGGGACAGCGTCCTGCCCCCCGCCCCGCACGGTCCCCCGTCCTTACCATCATCCCCGGGGGTCCCGGGAGGCCGGGGCTGCCCGCGGGGCCCGGCGAGCCCGGGGGTCCCCTCTCCCCCGCGGGTCCCCGCGGCCCCACCAGCCCCATGGAGCCGCTTTTGCCCGGCCCCCCGGGCATCCCGGCTCTGCCCTTCTCCCCGGGGTAGCCCCGCTCGCCCGGGGCTCCGGTGTCACCCTGCGGACAGGAGAGGTCGGTCCTGGCGTGCGGGACAGCGGTGGCACAGCGCGGTGGCACCGGTGGCACGGCACAGCCTCACCTTCTGTCCGGCCGGGCCCGCCATGCCCGGTTTTCCTGGGGGTCCCTGGAAAACAGGAGCAGCGTGACAGGGATGTCCCCACCCTGGGGACACCCTGGGGACAAGCAGAGGATGACAAAATCCAGCGCTGTCGCTCCAGAGAACCGCGCTCACCTCCTTCCCGACGGGCCCGTCCGCTCCCTGCTCGCCCTGCGGGGTGCAAGGGGGGCGGCGTGAGGGTGGTGGCACCGCGGGGACACCCCCGAGGTCCCCACGCCGCGGGGGACAGGGTCCCGCTGCACTCACCGGCGGTCCCGGGTGTCCCGGGGGTCCCGGCTGGCCCGGCATTCCCGGCAGACCCCGCTCGCCCACCGAGCCGCGCTCGCCCTTCAGCCCCTGCGCGGAGGAGAGAGCGGGAGCACCGGGATGGGTGATCCCAAAACATCCTGATCCCAGAGCACCGGGATGGGTGATCCCAAAACATCGGGATGGGGTGATCCCAAAACATCAGGATCAGGTGATCTCAAAGCCAGGATGGGGTGATCCCAAAGCCAGGATCAGGTGATCCCAAAGCATCAGAACTGGGTGATCCCAAAGCCAGGATGGGGTGATTCCAAAGCATCAGGATGGGGTGATCCCAAAGCCGCTCGTCCCCACCCCAAACCCCGAGCGGAGGCCCGGCTGTACTCACCACCCCAGCGATCCCAGCGGGTCCCGGCTGCCCCGGGCTGCCAGGGGGACCCTGGGGACAGAGACGGGGGGGGTCAGCTGGGGGTCACGGGTGGTGTCCCCACTCCCTGCACCCATGGGATCCCCGCTGGGATCCCCCCATCGTGGGGGCAGCTCCAACTTACAATCAGCCCTGGGGGTCCCTGCCGGCCTTGGGGTCCCATGGGTCCGGGGTCACCCTGAGGGAGGCAAGGTGAGGAGGAGGAGGAGGAGGAAGGGGGTGGTGGCAGGGTGGCCCAGGGGTCACCCAGCCCTCGCTCACCTCGGCTCCCGGCCGGCCCGTCATCCCCGGGGGGCCGGGTTTGCCGCAGTCACCCTAAAAAGGAGGAAGGGACATGACGGGCAGAGCAGGGAGTGGCCAGGCCCGAGGGATGTCACCAGGTCCTTGGGGATGTCACCAGCCAGTGTCACCATCGCTCACCTTCGGTCCTGGGAGCCCTGGGTGCCCTGTCTTGCCCTTGAAGCCCTGGAGAGAGAGCAAAGAGCTGGGTGGGTGTCGGAATCTGAGGTATTGATGATTCCAAGATTGCAAAAAGTCTCTGTCTGTCTGCCCCGCTGCCAAAGCAGAAGCCATAATTGGTCTGTGCTGTTTCAAGGTTGTTTATTCTGTTTATCTCTAACATGTTCTGCTGCCCTGCCGCAGCTCTGTCCTGCAGGGCAGCGTGTGGGGCTCTGCCCTCAGTGGGATGGTACAAACATTAAATACCACAAACTACCTGTGCTGGATTTACAATAACGTGCCAATATCTGTCACCTACGTTGGACAGTGTGTCCCCAGCCTGAACCAACAGAAAAATGCCAACACCACAGTGAAACATGGAGGGCATGAAGAAGGAGGAAAAGGACAAGACACACCCAATTTCCTCCATCTTGTCCCCTTTGAACCCCTCATCTAGAAACCTAAAATTTTACTTTTGCACCCGTGCCACACTTAATTATTACTTATATCAAACCCTCAGAGCTTGTAATTCATCCTGTAAGATTGAAAACTCTTTTCCATGGGCAGAGATCACAGACAGTGTCTCTGGGGGCTCTGTCCAGGGGGGTTCTGACCCCTGCCAGGGTCCCAGGGCAGCCAGAGGGAAGCTCTGGACTCCCACAGGTCCCAGGGTGCTGCTGGCAGAGCACGGTGGTGCCCCTGACCCTGCAGATGCCACCCAGGCTTGGTGTCCCCAGGGACACGCGAGGGGACAGCCCCGGCTCAGGACACCCTGGCTGGGCTGCAGGGACGTGCCAGGCACGGGGCAGCAGGGAGGGGTGACAAGGAAGGATGGCACTCACCGGAGGACCCATCATCCCTGGTGGCCCGGGGGGGCCGGGGTCACCCTGGGGAGAAAGAGACGTGGGTTGGGGGTGTCCTGGGGGACGATGCAAGGAAAAACCCGGGGTTCACTCGGGGTTCCACCAAAACCCTGAGAGCTCCAGAGCCTCACCCGCAGCCCTGGCTTGCCATCCTTGCCATCCAGTCCTTCCAAGCCAGCAGGGCCCTGTGGGGACAAGGTGACAGTGGCACAGGGGGGTTTGCACTGGGGAGGGCTGGGGGTCCCTGAGGGGCTTGTTCAGGGCACCCCAAGCCATGGGAACAGATCCCTGGGGATGGGAACAGGTCCCTGGGGATGGGAACAGATCCCAGGGGACGGGAACAGATCCCTGAGGATGGGAACAGATCCCGGGGATGGGAACAGGTCCCTGGGGATGGGAACAGGTCCCTGGGGATGGGAACAGATCCCTGGGGATGGGAACAGATCCCGGGGATGGGAACAGGTCCCTGGGGATGGGAACAGATCCCTGGACATGGGAACAGGTCCCTGGGGATGGGAACAGGTCCCAGGGAATGGGAACAGGTCTCTGGGGATGGGAACAGGTCCCTGGGGATGGGAACAGATCCCTGGGAATGGGAACAGATCCCTGGGGATGGGAACAGGTCCTGGGGATGGGAACAGATCCCTGGGGATGGGAACAGATCCCTGGGGATGGGAACAGATCCCTGGGGATGGGAACAGGTCCCTGGGGATGGGAACAGCCAGCGGTGCTCCCAGGAGCACCCAAGGGTGCCACATGTGGGGGCCATACCTGGATTCCCGGGGCTCCGGGGGGCCCGGGGGGTCCTGGCATGCCCGGGGAGCCGCGCACGCCCTCGCTGCCCTGCAAGAGCCACAGGAGGTGCCAGGCACGGCCGGGGCCGGGCACCAAAGGCAGCCACGGCCCGAGGGACCCGCGGGGACACCGAGCGCCCGGGGCACCCGGGCCTGGCACTCACCTTCTCTGCCACGGGCCCGGGCGGCCCAGCGGGACCGGCCTTTCCCGGGAAACCAGGAGGACCCTAAAGAGCAGAGGGGTGTTGAGTAAAGAGGGGATCCCAGTAATAAATCCCGCTTTTTCCTGGCTTCAGTTAATGGGATTGATCTGGGGCTGCTCCCTGCGCCGCGTCCCACTCGTGTCCCCCTTGTAGGACACCCTGTCCCCATCCCTGGAGCTGCGGGGACACGGGGACACGCGGCCAGGAATGGGGTCCCTCTGCCAGCTGCTGGAATTCCCAGGGGATGTACGCAGAATTCCCAGGGATTTACTCAAAATTCCCATTGGGCTTTGCTCAAAATTCCCTGTGTGATTTACTCAGAATTCCCATTGGTATTTACTCAGAATTCCCAGTGGGATTTACTCAGAATTCCCATTGGGATTTACTCAGAATTTCCAGTGGGATTTACTCAGAATTCCCATTGGGATTTACTCAGAATTCCCAGTGGGATTTACTCAGAATTCCCAGTGGGATTTACTCCGAATTCCCCATGGGATTTACTCAGAATTCCCCATGGGATTTACTCAGAATTCCCATTGGGATGTACTCAGAATTCCCATTGGGATTTACTCAGAATTCCCAAGTGGGATGTACTCAGAGTTCCCAGTGGGATGTACTCAGAATTCCCAGTGGGGTGCACTCAGAGTTCCCATTGGGATTTACTCAGAATTCCCATTGGGATTTACTCAGAATTCCCATTGGGATTTACTCAGAATTCCCATTGGGATTTACTCAGAATTCCCAGGGGGATTTACTCTGAACTCCCACCCAGGTGGGATTTACTCAGAATTCCCAGCGGGATTTACTCTGAACTCCCACCCAGGCGGGATTTACTCACCGGCGGTCCCGGGAAGCCGGGCTGGCCCTGGAAACCCTGAGGAGAGACAGGAGCTGAGCCGGACCCCACAGCCCCCGGGGTCCTGGGGGGTCCTGTCCCCTTTGGGGACACTCACCTGGTCCCCCTTCTCCCCGGCGCTTCCCGGGAGCCCGCGCTCACCCCTGGGACCCTGCGGAGAGACGGGATGGGGTGGTGGGAGCGCCCCAAAAACCACCCCACAGCACCCCACAGCACCCAAGGGTGGGCACCTACCGCTGGCCCCACGGGACCGGGCAGCCCATCCACGCCGGGGGGGCCCTGGGAGGACGGGAAGAGAGCGGGTGGGGGCGGCTGAGGGGTGCCAGCCCCGGTGCCCATGGAGAGGGGCACCGGGGGGAGCCCCCAAAATCCACTGCCCGCGGAGAGGGGTACCGGGGGGAGCCCCCAAAATCCACTGCCCACGGAGAGGGGCACCGGGGGGAGCCCCCAAAATCCACTGCCCGCGGAGAGGGGCACCGGGGGGAGCCCCCAAAATCCACTGCCCACAGAGAGGGGCACTGGGGGGAGCCCCCAAAATCCACTGCCCGCAGAGAGGGGCACCAGGGGGACTCACCAGCTCCCCTTTCTCGCCAGGGGGACCCGCGTAGCCTCGCTCGCCTTTGCTGCCCTGGGGAAGGAGGGACGAGGTGGGATTTGGGGTACGGGTGGGATTTGGGGCATTAATGGGATTTGGGGTATGGGTGGGATTTGGGGCATGGGTGGGATTTAGAACATGGGTGGGATTTGGGGTATGGGTGGGATTTGGGGCATGGGTGGGTATGGGTGTGATTTGGGGCATGGGTGGGATTTGGGGCATTAATGGGATTTGGGGCATGGATGGGATTTGGAGCATTAATGGGATTTAGGACATGGGTGGGATTTGGGGTACGGGTGGGATTTGGGGCATGGATGGGATTTGGGGTACGGGTAGGATATGGGATATGGGTGGGACATGGGGCATGTGTGGGATTTGGGGTATGGGTGGGATGTGGGGCATGGATGGGATTTGGGGCAGGGAGGGATTTGGGACAGGGATGGGATTTTGGCAGGGATGGGATTTGGGACAGGGATAGGACATGGGGCAGGGATGGGATGTGGGGCAGGGATGGGATTTGGGGCAGGGATGGGATTGGGGGCAGGGAGGGATTTGGGGCAGGTATGGGATTCGGGCAGGGATGGGATTCGGGCAGGGATGGGATTTAGGACATGGGTGGGATTTAGGGCATGGGTGAGATTTGGAACAGGGATGGGATTGGGGGCAAGGATGGGATGTGGGGCAGGGATGGGATGTGGCGCAGGGATGGAATGTGGGGCAGGGATGGGACGTGGGGCAGGGATGGGATTCGGGCAGGGATGGGATTGGGGGCAGGGATGGGATGTGGGGCAGAGAAGAGGGGACACGGGGACACAGGCGGGACACGCTCAGGGTGCAGAGGCTGTGGCGTGGACGAGCAGGGCGCTGGGGATGTGTGGGGTGGGATTGGCTGGGCAGGACAGGGAGGATGAGCCCTGCAGGAACATGGTGCTCTGTGCCCGCCAGGGTCCCCCAGCTGTGACACGGGGGGGTCTCAGTGAGCCCCAGGAGGGCCTTGGGGACCCCCGAGGGGGCTGGGGGCTGGCAGGGGCTGCCTGGTCCCCCCAGTACTCACAGGAAGGCCGGGGGGCCCCGTGGCCCCGGGGTAGCCGGGTTGTCCTGGGGGTCCCTGTGGGTGAGGGTGATGCCACTGAGCCACCTGCAGCGCCCCAGGTGCCACCCCCCATGGGCCACCAGCGTCCCCCAGGTGCCACAGCACTCACCGGCTCCCCTTTGGCTCCGGCCAGCCCGGCAGGGCCACGCTCCCCTTGGAGACCCTTGGTGGGGAGAAGAGAGGAGATGCAGGGGGGGGTCTCCTACAGCCCCTCCCGGGGCTGTGCCCACCTGGCAGCAGAACCTGGGCACAGCCCACGGGCTCTGCGACCTCTGCTGGGACCCTGCCTGGGCTCCCTCCACCCCTGCGGGCACCGGGGGCAGTGCCCAGGCGTGGTGGGGACGCTCAAACCCTGGCGGCACGGAAATCTCAGCCCTGGGGGGCTGCGTGGGGTGCCCAGCTCTGGCTGCAGCCCCCAGCTCCAGCCTGGTGCCCCCCGTCCTCCCGGGGTGACACGGAGACAGCCCGGAGCGCCACGGGGACCTCCGGGGTGGGGTGGGGGGTTAGTGGGGGTGAGGTGGTGCCGAGGTGACAGAGAAGGACAGGACACGCTGGCACACCGCAGAGCACGGCCCACAGAGAGCCCCAGAGAGCCCCAGAGGGGCCGTGGGGTGGCGGTGACATTAGTGGGCGAGGGGACACGAGCAGGAGGGAGCGCAGGGTCCTCCGAGAGCCGCCGGCACAGCCCCGCTGCCGGGGGCGGGAGCAGGAGGGTGGAGAGGGAGGTGGAGGTGAGGATGAAGATGGAGATGAAGATGGAGATGGTGGTGACCACACAGGAGTGACCAGAGGAGGAGGAGGAGGAGGAGGAGGAGGAGGAGGAGGATGAGCCAGCTCCTGTGGGGAGCAAGCGGGGTGGGAGCGGGAGGGTGGCGATGGACGTGGAGGTGAGGATGAAGATGGAGATGAAGATGGAGATGAAGATGGAGGTAGTGGTGGAGGCTGTGACCACACAGGAGTGACCAGAGGAAGAGGAGGAGGAGGAGGATGAGCCAGCTCCTGTGGCGAGCGAGCAGGGTGGGAGCGGGAGGGTGGTAATGGATGTGGAGGTGAGGATGAAGATGGAGATGAAGATGGGGATGGGGATGGTGCTGACCACACAGGAGTGACCAGAGGAGGAGGAGGAGAAGGAGGAGGAGGAGGAGGAGGAGGAGGATGAGCCAGCCCCTGTGGCGAGCGAGCAGGGCGGGAACAGGAGGGTGGTGATGGATGTGGAGATGAGGATGAAGATGGAGATGAAGTTGGAGATGGTGCTGACCACACAGGAGTGACCAGAGGAGGAGGAGGAGGATGAGCCAGCTCCTGTGGGGAGCGAGCGGGGCGGGAGCAGGAGGGTGGTGATGGACGTGGAGATGAGGATGAAGACGGAGATGAAGATGGAGATGAAGATGGAGGTAGTGGTGGAGGCTGTGACCACACAGGCGTGACCAGAGGAGGAGGAGGAGGAGGAGGAGGAGGAGGAGGAGGAGGAGGAGGAGGAGCCAGCCCCTGTGGTGAGCGAGCAGGGCAGGAGCAGGAGGGTGGCGATGGACGTGGAGGTGAGGATGAAGATGGAGATGAAGATGGGGATGGTGCTGACCACACAGGAGTGACCAGAGGAAGAGGAGGAGGAGGAGGAAGATGAGCCCAGGCCACACATGGGATCCTCCTGGTCGCCACGAGGGGTGTCCCTGGTGACCATCAGGGCAGCTGTGACGGGTCACCCGGCCTGGCTGGCAGCTCCCTGGCACACCCGGAGCCGCGCCGTGCCGAAGGGACCCGGCGGGTGGCGAGTGGCAGCAGCGGGTCCCCAAACTGAGGAAGATCGTCCCCAAATAAATCCAGGTCCGCCGGGACCCCCTGCTTTGAGATGGAGGAGGGGGAATGGCAGGATGGAGATGGAGTGGGAGGGGTGGGGCAGCTGTGCCGCGGCTGTCCCGACGGGGACAGGGACAGGGGACACGGCCAAACCAAGCGGCAGCGACACGAGGGCACAGAGCGGAGCCGTGCTGGGTTCTTACGGGCAGTCCGGGGGCGCCCGGCGTTCCGGGAAAGCCTGGGGGGCCCTGAGGGGAGAAACAGGGAGGTCACAGCTTGGAAAAGCCTGGCCTGAGAACCTGGGGGTGCCACAGAGCTCCTGCTCCACCTCCGGGCTGGCAGCAGCGTCACCTCCTTCGCCAGCCTCCGCGGGGACATCCGCGCCGTGCCGTGCCATGTCACATCTGCGCCTCGCCCGTCGCCACAGCCTCAGGGCAAGGTGCCAGGCCCCTTTGGCAACCTGCTTTGAGGGGCTCCGAGCCCCCCAGGACCCCCCACCCCAGCCCAGCCCGGGCAGGGCTACTCACGATGGGTCCGGGTGGTCCTGGAGGTCCGCGCAGCCCTGGGGAGCCCTGGCGGGGGGAATGGGGGTGCCAGGTGTGACCAGCGAGGTGGGGACAGCCCCGAGGGACAGCCCAGGATGTGCCCCAGCCCCCAGGAAGGGCTGGGGGGGCAGCAGAGGATGGGTTGGGGCTCACCCACCTGCTCTCCTCGCTCTCCCGGGATCCCCGGCGCTCCCGGCAGCCCCGGGTGACCCGCACAGTCCGGGCTGTCACCCTGCCAGCGGTGGTGGCGACACATCAGGAACCCCACGGTGGCTCTGCCACCCGCGCTGAGCCCTGCCAAGCCTCCCCAAAACCCTCCCAGCTGGGGGACAGTCCTGGATGGCCCGGCAGGGAGCATCCCTGGGGAGCAGGGGGTGGCACCAGGACAGCGGTGTCCTGGGTTAGAATATTGGGGTGTGTTCCATTACCACCTCGAGCTGCAATCTTTTTTTTTTTCCCTTATCTCAGAGATAAGTCCCTCCAGGAGGAGCTGTCCTTTCAGCCACATGGCTGAGAAGATCACAGCGTTCTATTGTGAGATGCTCCGCCCAGAGGGAGGAGCCAAACGATGCCGTCAAGGATATAAATGGGGTTGTACAAACAGCAAATAAATCCCCTGTTCCAAGAGGAACAGCTGAGACCTTCTCTGCACTGGACCTCCAGAGGGAAACTCCATCAGTCTGCAGGAGCACGGCTTGGACAGAGCCACATCTGCCACCACTGCCCCAGCCAGCGAGTGTCAGGCTGTGTCTCTGACTCTGCCAGTGGTTCTTCTTTTGTGCTGTTGTATGTATGGGGTTCTTTGTTCCCTTTTCCTAATAAATTGTATTTCTGACTCAGAGCCTCTCACTGGTTTTGCTTTTCAAACCAGGACAGCCAGGGTCACTCACCCGAGCCTCCTCTGCCCGCGGGAACTGCGCCAAGCACTGCGGGAAAAGGCCGGAGTCACACGGCTGTGGCACAGGAGTGGCCTGTCCCCCCTGCCCGGGACCCCCCCGGGGTGTGCCCGCGGTCCCAGAGCGGCCACTGTCCCCAGAGCGCGTCCAGAGCGCGGCACTTCCCCCAAATTCCCACCCAACCCAACCCCCGTGACTCGGGGGCATCTCTCCATCCTCACCCCGGGGTGTCGAGCACCCAAATTTCACCCAACCCAATTCCTCATGACTCAGGGGCATCTCTCCATCCTCACCATGAGGAGTCCAGCACCCAGATTCCCACCCAACCCAACCCCCGTGACCCGGGGCCGTCTCTCCATCCTCACCCTGCACGGCCAGGGGGTGTCAGGTACCCAAATTTCACCAAACCCAATTCCCCGTGACTCAGGGGCATCTCTCCATCCCCACCCTGGGGTGTCGGGCACCCAAATTTCACCCAACCCAATTCCCCATGACCTGGGGGCATCTCTCCATCCTCACCAGGGGGTGTCGAGCACCCAAATCCCACCAAACCAAATCCCTGTGACTCAGGGGCATCTCTCCATCCTCACCAGGGGGTGTTGAACACCCAAATTTCACCAAACCCAATTCCTCGTGACTCAGGGGCATCTCTCCATCTTCACCTCGGGGTGTCGAGCACCCAAATTCCCACCCAACCCAACCCCCATGACTCGGGGGCGTCTCTCCATCCCCACCCCGGGGTGTCGGGCACCCAAATTCCCACCCAGAGCTGTGGGAACGCTCACCCTGGCACAGTTCTCGCTGCCAGGGGCGCCTGGCATGCCCCCATCGCCCTTCTCCCCCTCCGCTGCCCCGGGAGCTTCCAGGGCTGCCTGCAGCTGGGCACAGTCCCCACAGAGAGTCTGGAAAGGGGGAAAAGGGGAGTCAGGGGTGCCCCCAGGGGTGCCCCGGGGCAGGAGGGTGACCCCAAACCCAACCTCTCACCTTCAGCACCTCGATGTTCCTCTCCGCCACCACGGCCAGAGGTCCCTGGAAAGGAGGGAGGGGTGGAGGGAGGGATTGTCCCCGCCTTGGGGACAGCGGGGACAGGGGACACTGCTGTGGCACCGCCACCTACCAGGTCTCCGGCCGGTCCTGGCAGTCCGGGCAGGCCGTTGTGTCCCGGCATTCCCTAAATCCAGAGGGGGATGTTCGAACCCAGGAAAGGTGAGGATGTGCCCCCCGCTCTCCCCGTGGCTCACCTGGCGACCGGGGGCACCGGGCGGCCCGGGGGGGCCAGGAGCTCCGGGGGGGCCCTGCAAGACCCCAAAACACGATCAGAGAGAGGCGAGGGGCCAGCAAGGTGGCAGGGGCACGGCGGGGGTGGCACCGACCTGCGGGCCAGGCTGGGGCTGCCAGGACATCCCGGTCCATAATCCTGGGGCTCCCTGCGGGTGGGAGAAGCCGGGAGGGTGAAACGGGGCCGGGGGGTGCCCCCGAGGGTGGCACAGTGCCAGGGGGGTGGCACAGTGCCAGGGGGGTGCCACTCACCGGCATCCCGTTGTAGCTGGGGTCCTGGCGGGGGTTGGAGGGGCAGGAGCACTCGCCGGGGTCTCCCTGTGGGCACAGGGGGTGAGGGCAGGGCGGGTTTGGGGGGGCACGGGGGGTGCACCCGGAGCCCCACTCACCTTCTCTCCCTGGGCACCCTTCTCCCCCTGCCAGAGGAAAGCAGAGATGGGCGTTAGGGGTGCCCCCGGTGCCCCCCACCCACCCCCCTGGCACACCCCCCACACCTACCGGCTGCCCACCGGGGCCGGGGGGACCCCGCTGCCCCTCGGGACCCTGCGAGGAAGAGGAAGGTGAGGAAACCGCCTGGCTCGATGGGGATGAAGGCGCCAGCAGGGTGGCACTGCCCATCCCGGAGGGCCAGGACCTACCGGGGGTCCTGTGACGCTGCTCCCGGGTGCTCCAGGGGGTCCCGTGGCACCTTTGGGGCCCGGAGATCCCTGCAGAGGAAGGACGGCAGGAATGGGGGGCACGGCGGGCACCGGGGGCGGGGGGACGCTGCCTTACCTTGGCACCTTTCTCTGCTGCCATCCCCGGGGGTCCCTGCGGTCCGGGGGGGCCCTGGGGGCACGACAGGGTGTTGGGGAGGGGACAAGGTTGTCCCCAGAGGTGCCACAAGCCACACAGAGGCTGGCAGGGGCTGGGCACCCCAAAACCCCACCCCAAACCCTACTCACGGGGGGTCCGGGGGGGCCGCTGCTCCCGGGGTCTCCCTGGGAAGAGCAGAGGGTGTGAAAGCCACCAGAGCCACCCGGCGTGGGACAGCAGGGGACAGACAGTACAGGCCCCCCAAAACCCACCTGTGGTCCCGGCTGGCCGATCCCCCGCGGTCCTGGCTCGCCCTACGGACACGGAGGGGCAGTGGGGTGTCCCCAGGACCCTGCACCCCACACCTGCACCCCACGGGGGACACAGAGGGGCACTGGGGTGTCCCCTGCACCCCACACCCTGCACCCCACTGGGGACACAAAGGACACACTCCACACCCCACTGGGGACACAGAGGGACACTGGGGTGTCCCCAGGACCCCACACCCCACAGGGGACACAGAGGGGCACTGGGGCGTCCCCAGAACCCCACACCCCACTGAGGACACACCCCACACCCCACTGGGGACACAGAGGGACACTGGGGTGTCCCCTGCACCCCACACCCGCACCCCACAGGGGACACAGAGGGACACTGGGGTGTCCCCAGGACCCCACACCTGCAGCCCCACAGGGGACACAGAGGGACACTGGGGTGTCCCCTGCACCCCACACCCGCACCCCACAGGGGACACAGAGGGGCACTGGAGTGTCCCCAGGACCCCACACCCCACACCTGCACCCCACTGGGGACACAGAGGGGCACTGGGGTGTCCCCAGGACCCCACACCCCACAGGGGACACAGAGGGGCACTGGGGTGTCCCCAGGACCCCACACCCCACAGGGGACACAGAGGGACACTGGGGTGTCCCCAGGACCCCACACCCCACGGGGGACACAGAGGGGCACTGGGGTGTCCCCAGGACCCCACACCCCACGGGGGACACAGAGGGGCACTGGGGTGTCCCCAGGACCCCACACCCGCACCCCACAGGGGACACAGAGGGACACTGGGGTGTCCCCAGGACCCCACACCCCACAGGGGACACAGAGGGACACTGGGGTGTCCCCAGGACCCCACACCCCACAGGGGACACAGAGGGACACTGGGGTGTCCCCAGCACCCCACACCCGCCCCCCACTCACCTGCAGCCCCTTGGGCCCGGCGGGACCCCGCACCCCCGGCAGCCCCGGCTTCCCCTAAAACACAGCAGGGTCACCCCGGGGCGCGGTGCCAGCGGGGGCGTGGCCGTGGGGAGGGGACACGGGGACACTCACGGGTCTGCCCGGCTGGCCGCTGCCCGGCGGGCCCCGCTCCCCTCTGGGGCCGGGTTTGCCCGGGATGCCAATCCTGTCCGGGAGGTGCCCGAGCGCGGCGGGGCCGGGCTCGCACGCGTCTCCCTGCGGGGAGGGGACAGCAGAGGCACGGAGGGGTGGGTGACACCGCGGGGACAAGGGACAGATGCCCAAAATGTGGGGGCTCTCACCTTGTCGCCTTTGGGGCCGGCTGGTCCCCTGATGCCAGGCTCACCCGAGAGCCCCGGGACCCCGGCCGTGCCCGGCGTGCCCGGGTCCCCGGGGCTGCCAGCGTCGCCCTGGCAAAGAGAGGCGACAAAGCTGGCACACGGAGGGAGGGGACACGGCACAGAGAGGCCACGGTGCCCTCTGCCACCACTGACCCCACCCCGGTGCCACCCTGAGCCCCTCTCACCTTCTGTCCCTTCTCGCCAGCCTCGCCGGGTCTGCCCTGGGGAAAGGCAGGAACGGGTCAGGATGGGGCATCCCCCCCAAAAACGGGCACGGGGGGCACGGGGGGCACTCACCGCTCTGCCCGGGGGGCCAGCAGGACCCCTCTCACCCGGTGGCCCCGGCACTGCCAGCGCTGTCGCTGTCCCTTGCAGGGCTTGCGGGGTGGGAGGGCACTGCCCGCACTGCTCGCCCTGCGGGGGGACATCCCGGCTGGGAGGTGGCCTTGGCGACAGGGACGTGGCGGGGGGCTCGCGACCCCCTCACCCCAGCGCTGTTCCAAGCCCAGGTCTCAGCAGGGACAGGAAGGGACAGGAAGGGACAGGAAGGGACAGGAAGGGACAGGAAGGGACAGGAAGGGACAGGCAGGGACAGGAAGGGACAGGGGTGGCCCCAGTGCTGCGCTCACCTTCTCTCCCTTGGGCCCCCGCGCACCTGGAGCTCCCTTCTCTCCCGGGGTTCCCTGCACCCAAAATCCACAGCAGAGGTGACACCAGGGTCCCCAAACCTCGCCTCTGACACCCCTGAGCCCCCACTCACTGCTCTGCACCTCAAAATCCACAGCAGAGGTGACACCAGGGTCCCCAAACCTCGCCTCTGACACCCCTGAGCCCCCACAGTGTCCCCACTCACTGCTCTGCACCCCAAAATCCACAGCAGAGGTGACACCACGGCCCCCAAACCTGAGCTCTGAGCCCCCTGAGCCCCCACTGACTGCTCTGCACCCAAAATCCGCAGCAGAGGTGACACCAGGGTCCCCAAACCTCGCCTCTGACACCCCTGAGCCCCCTGAACCCCCCAATGTCCCCACTTACCGCTCTGCCCGTGGGTCCCACATGGCCGCTGTCCCCCTGAAACGGAGCAGGGCCAGGGGCAGGGCCAGGATCAGAATTCGGCTCAGGATCAGCCAAACCTGCCCCGCACCCATGGGACAACCCCACTCACCTTGTCCCCCTTGATCCCGGCCAGCGCGGACAGCCCCGCCTGGCCCTGCAGGACACGCAGTGGTCACTGCCCCGGCACCCACAGCACCCACAGCACCCCAGGGTGCCCCGGGACGGGGTGGGGGGGTCCCACCCCGCTACTCACCGGCAGCCCCGGCTCCCCTTCGAGGTCCCGCAGCGCGGCGAGGACGCGGAGGTCGCAGGGCTGGCACGAGTCCCCCTGGGGTGGCAGCAGGGGACAGCTCAGGGGCTGCGGTGGCCGAGGCGGGGGTGGCACGGAGGGTCACCCACTCACCTTGTCCCCTTTCGTGCCCTGGATGCCGGGATCGCCCTGGGAAGGGAGAGCGGGAGCTGGGCGCTGCTCGGTGTCCCCCCAGCTGGAGCTGGGGACAAGCCAGCCCGGCCCGTGTCACCTACCCTGTCCCCTTTGGGTCCCGCGGGGCCGGGGGTGTCCTGGGAAGGGGCAAAGGGAGGGGACATCAGGGGTGTTGAGGTGCCAGCGCTGCTGCCACCCCCCCCGTGGGGTCCCACTCACCGAGACCCCGTCCCTGCCGGGCGCTCCGGGCTCCCCCCGCGCTCCCGGCCTGCCGGGGATTCCGATGGCACCGAGTGTCCCCTCGGGGACAGAGGGACACAGCTGGCACGGCTCGCCCTGCCCGGGGGAGCAGTGACACAGAGGTTGGGGTGGCCCCCAGGATGTCCCAGACAGACCCATGGCCGGGGGATGTGCCCGTGGCCACCGTGTCACCGCACCCACGGTGTCACTGCCACCACAGTGTCACCGCACCCACAGTGTCACCTCACCCACCGTGTCACTGCCCCCTCAGTGTCACTGCACCCACTGTGTCACTGCCCCCACAGTGTCACCTTACCCACTGTGTCACCGCACCCACGGTGTCACAGCAGTCACCGTGTCACTGTCCCCACGGTGTCACCGCACCAACAGCGTCACCGTCCCCACCGTGTCACTGTCCCCACCGTGTAACCTCACCCACGGTGTCACCTCACCCACAGTGTCACAGCACCCACGGTGTCACCTCACCAACAGTGTCACCGTCCCCACCGTGTCACTGTCCCCACCGTGTAACCTCACCCACCATGTCACCTCACCCACTGTGTCACCTCACCAACAGTGTCACCATCCCCACCATGTCACCGTCCCCACAGTGTCACCTCACTAACAGGGTCACTTCACCCACAGTGTCACCTCACCTATTGTGTCACTGCCACCACAGTGTCACTGCACCAACAGTGTCACCGTCCCCACCGTGTCATTGTCCCCACCGTGTAACCTCACCCACAGTGTCACAGCACCCACGGTGTCACCTCACCAACAGTGTCACTGCTCCCACCATGTTACTGTCCCCACGGTGTCACTGTCCCCACGGTGTCACCTCACCCACCGCGTCACTGTCCCCACGGTGTCACCTCACCCACCATGTCGCCTCACCCACAGTGTCACCTCACCCACGGTGTCACCTCACCCACGGTGTCCCCGCACCCACCTTGTCTCCTTTCGGCCCCAGCACTCCGGGGAGACCCTGCGGGAGCGAAGTGGGGATGGGGCCGCTCCAGGGAGGCACCTTGTGCCCCCCCAGTGCCACCCAGCACCCTCAGCTGGCACCCAGCTCCGGCACAGGGCAATTCCGGCCCGAGGGACGCTCCCGCTTTTCCCAAATCCCTCAGCTCCCGATTTCCCAAATCCCTCTCGGCTCCAAATTTCCCAAATCCCTCTCGGCTCCAAATTTCCCAGACCCCTCTCGACTCACGATTTCCCAAAACCCTCTCGTTTCCAAATTTCCCAAAACCCTCTCGGTTCCCAGTTTCCCAAAATCCTCTCGATTCCCACTTTTCCCAAACCCCTCAGCTCCCAATTTCTCAAACCCCTCTCTGTTCCCGATTTCCCAAATCCCTCTCTGTTCCAAATTTCTCAAATCCCTCTTGGTTCCCACTTTTCCCAAATCCCTCTCAGTTCCAAATTTCCCAAACCCCTCTCGGTTCCCGGTTTCCCAAATCCCTCTCGGTTCCAAATTTCCCAAATCCCTCTCGGTTCCGAATTTCCCAAATCCCTCTCGGTTCCGAATTTCCCAAATCCTCCTCGGCTCCAAATTTCCCAAATCCCTCTCGACTCACGATTTCCCAAAACCCTCTCGGCTCCAAATTTCCCAAATCCCTCTCGGCTCCAAATTTCCCAAATCCCTCTCGGCTCCCGCTTTTCCCAATCCCTCTCGGTTCCAAATTTCCCAAACCCCTCTCGGTTCCGAATTTCCCAAACCCCTCTCGGTTCCCGGTTTCCCAAATCCCTCTCGGCTCCAAATTTCCCAAACCCCTCTCAGCTCCCGGGTTCCCAAATCCCTCTTGGCCCCGGGCTCGGCTCCCGGCCCCTCTCCGGCCGAGCGGCCCCGACCCCGAGCCAAAATCCCGCCCTGCCCCCGGTTTGGCCGCCGGTGCCGGTACTCACGGGGGTCCCGGGTGATCCTCCGGGTCCGGGAGCCCCCGGGCTGCCCTGGGTGGGAAATGCTGAGCTCAGCAAGGAGCGACCCCGCAGCCCTGGGGACCCCCCTGTCCCCCCTGTCCCCCCAAGCCACGTCCTCGGGCCACCCAGAGCGGTCGGTGGCTCCAGCTCAGCCCTGGCGGATCCAGCTGTGGGATCCAGCTGTGCCCTGCCAGGCCTGGCACCCCTTTCCCTGCGCTCACCTTCTCTCCCTTCGGACCTGGGGGGCCACCGGGGTCACCCTGAAAGGGACAAAGGGCGGTGTTAGCCCTGCTGGGGTGCCCTGGCCAGCCCTCCCACCACGGGGACACCGCCTTGGCACGGCTCCTCACCGGCTTCCCTGGAATGCCAACCCCCGGAGAGCCAGGCTTGCCCGGGGCTCCTGGCTCACCGGCCAGCCCCTCCGGTCCCACGAGGCCGGGGTCACCCTGCAGGGCAGCGAGAGGGGAGGTGGCAGTGCTGGCAGTGCCACCAGGTGCCCCATCTGCCACCTGGCACCTCCAAACCCCCAGGTACCTTCTGGCCCTTGGGTCCCACCACGCAGATCTCTCCGGGCCGGCCCTGCCGGGAGGGCAGTGGGGTGTGAAGGGGTGTGGGCAGACCCCCCTGGCCTGGGGGATGCCCAGAGGTGCCCAGGGGGTGCCCAGGTACCCCCCAGAACTACTCACATCACGCCCAGGGCGGCCTGGCTTGCCCTGCAGTCCCCCATCACCCTTCTCACCCTTCTGGCCCTGCAGGACAGACAGATGTCACCTCTGGTGTCACCCGTGGTGTCACCCAGGTTGGTGCTGGTGCAGGTCCTGGCACCTCTGCCACCATCCCAGGTGTCCCTGCTGCCATGCCAGGACACACAGGTGGGCTGGACTCACCTTCTGCCCCTCGGTGCCAGCTGGGCCCGGGAGTCCCTGCGGGGGAAAAACGGGACAAAGCGGGTGCCCAGGTGGGTTCATGAGGGTGCCCAGGAGGGCTCATGCTGGTGCCCAGGTGGGTTCATGTGGGTGCCCAGGTGGGTTCGTGTGGGTGCCCAGGTGGGTTCGTGTGGGTGCCCAGGTGGGCTCATGCCCCAGGTGGGCTCGTGAGGGTGCCCAGGTGGGTTCATGTGGGTGCCCAGGTGGGCTTGTGCCCCAGGTGGGTTCATGCAGGTGCCCAGGTGGGCTGGTGCAGGGTCACCTCCTGCTCCTCTCATGCCCACACGGAGCTGGACCCGCAGAGTTGGACCCCCCCGCCCCAGCCCAGGGCAGGGGGACCCCCGAGTGTCCCCACATCTTGTCCCCAGGTGTCACTCACCACCTGCCCGCGCTGCCCCTTCTCACCCCGCGGGCCCTCGGCACACTGGGAGGAAGAGGAGGAGGAGGAGGTGAGAGGGGAGGCAGGGATGGGGAGGGGGGTTTGGGGAGGGTTTGGGGGGTCTCACCTGCACGGGGCCGCCGGGGTGGGTGCGCACACAGTCCGTGCCCTGCGGAGGGGGAGGTGGCTCAGGGACGGGGGGGTTTGGGGGACAGGAGCACCCCCAGGGCACGGGGGTGTGCCAGGGACCCCGCAGGGAGCGACCCCCAGGGCCAGTGGGGACAGGGACAGAGGGGACAGGGATAGCAGGGACAGGGACAGCAGGGACACTCACACGGTCACCCTTCTCCCCTTTGCCACCGGCGGTGCCAGGGAGGCCCTGCTCGCCCTTGGTGCCCTGCAGGAGAGGGAGGGAGGGTGAAAAATGGGCACAGGGTGGGGGATAAACGGGCACAGGGTGGGTGAAAAATGGGCATAGAGTGGGGGAAAAATGGGCACAAAGAGGGTGACAAATGGGCACAGGGTGGGGGATAAATGGGCACAGGGTGGGTGAAAAATGGGCACAGGGTGGGGGATAAACGGGCACAGGGTGGGGGATAAACGGGCACAGATTGGGGAAAAAATGGGCACAGGGTGGGGGATAAACGGGAACAGGGTGGGGGTAAATGGGCACAGAGTGGGGGGAAAATGGGCACAGGGTGGGTGGAAAATGGGTACAGAATGGGTCAAAAACTGGCACAAGGTGGGGAATAAATGGGCACAGGGAGGGGAACAAACAGGCACAGAGTGGGGGACACATGGGCACAGAATGGGTGAAAAACTGGCACAGGGTGGGGGACAAACAGGCACAGGAAGGGTGACAAATGGGCACAGAATGGGTGAAAAACTGGCACAGGGTGGGGGACAAATGGGCACAGGGTGGGTGAAAGACACAGGGTGTCCCCAGGGCCCTGAGCGTGCCCACAGCTCCTGGCAGGGCTGCTCTGACACCGCGTGCCCCCGTTCCTGCAGGAGCTCTGGGTGTCCTGGCAGGTGACACACCCACCTTTGGGCCTGGGGGACCGAGGGTGGCCTGTGGAGACAGGACAGAAGTGTCCCCAAGGAGCCTTCGAAAGGTGGCAGCAGCAGAGCCCTGAGCCCGCCACGGTGCCCGTTGTCCCAGCGCTCTGTCCCCAAGTGCCACCATGGGGCACGGAGCGTCCTGGTCCCCTGCCATCCCCCTGCCAGCCCCCCCAGCCCACCCCAGCCCAGCCAGCGGCTGCTGCAGGAATGGGGCCACATCTGGAAAGGATCAGGGCCCTTCCAGATGTTGCAGAGCCAGGAGGAGCCGTGGGGTGTGGGGGGCTGGTGGCAGCGGCGCGGTGGCTTTTGTCACCCCCGGGTGCCAGTTTGGGGTGCCCGCGGCCGGCGCCACACTCACATTTCCTGGTGCCAGCGGGGCCGGGCAGGGAGGGCACTGCAAGGGACAGGGGGGGAAGCTGCAAGCGGCCCCACAACGGCCCGTGGCACCCCAAACCCCACAGCACCCAAAACCCACAGCACAAAACCCCAAACCCCACAGCACAAAACCCCAAACCCCACAGCATCCCAAACCCCAGAGCATCCTAAACCCCACAGCACCCCAAAACCCCACAGCACCCAAACCCCACAGCACCCAAAACCCACAGCACAAAACCCCACAGCACAAAACCCCAAACCCCACAGCACCCAAAACCCACAGCACCCAAACCCCACAGCACCCAAAACCCACAGCACAAAACCCCAAACCCCACAGCACCCAAACCCCACAGCACAAAACCCCAAACCCCACAGCACCCCAAACCCCAGAGCACCCTAAACCCCCTAGCACCCAAACCCCAAACCCCACAGCACCCAAACCCCAGAGCACCCAAAACCCCAGTGCACACAAACCCCAAACCCCAGAGCACCCAAAACCCCACAGCACCCCCAAATTCCACGACACCCCAAATCCCACAGCCACTGCCTCCTTCCTCTGAGCACCCCAAAATCCCCCAACACCCCAAAACCCCACAGCCCCCCCGTTCTCCTGAGCACCCCAAAACCCCACAGCACCCCAAACCCCACAGCACCCCAAAAGACCCCAAACCCCACAGTCCCCCATTCTCCTGAGCATCCCAAATTCCCCAGCACCCCAAAACCCCACAGCACCCCAAACCCCACCACTCCCCCGTTCCCCTGAGCACCCCAAACCCCACAGCACCCCAAACCCACAGCACCCCAAACCCCACAGCACCCCAAAAGACCCCAAAACCCCACAGCCCCCCCGTTCCCCTGAGCACCCCACACCCGTGGGGATCCCCAGCAGCTCCCTGGGAATTCCTGGGTGGAGCTGCCCTGGATTGGTGCGGATTTCGGATTTCGGATTTCGGATTTGGGATTTTGGGCCTGAGCCAATTTCGGATTTTTGGCTCTGCCCAGCCGAAGGAGCCCCCACGGCAGCGGGGACACACGCGGGGTGTGGCCGTGTCCCCGCGGCCTCCAGCCCGGACACAGCCGTGGTGGCAGGAGGGACCCCGGAGATGTTCGGGGTGAGGGACAGGAGCTGGAGGCCTTTCCCAGCTCCGGAGACGCTCGGAGGGAACCAGCTGGACCTTGGCCAGAGCTGGGATGGCTCCAGCGGCAGCCGGAGCCGGCGGGGCCCCGATTCCTGCTCGGGGGAGCGGAGCAGCCGCAGGGCAGGGACACAGCCAGGACAGAGCCAGGACAGGGCTGGCACAGTGGGTGGCACCTCGGGGTGGCACTGGAAGGGAGCAGGGATGGGACACGCTCACCTTTTCCTTGGGATTGTCCCTCGGGCTGGTCCTTGCAGAGGTTCTGCCCGGTTCCTGCAGGGAGGGAAGAGCGCGGGGTGGCACCTGCCCGGGCGGTGCCAGCCTGGGGATCCCTCTGTGCCAGTCCTGGGCTGTCCTGCCCGGGAATCCAGGGAGGAGACAGCCCTGGCACCCGGCTGGCCCTCAGCGGGGGCACCTTCCCGTCCCTCGTCATCCGGAGGCCACCGACGCCTCCCCCCGGGCCTCGCACCGGGTGGGAAACTGAGGCAGGGGCTGGAACGGCGGGGGTGGGACTGGGGTGGGAATGGGGTGGGAGTGGGGTGGGAATGGGATTGGGGTGGGAATGGGGTAGGAATGGGATGGGAATGGGGTGGGAATGGGGTGGGAATGGGGTGGGAATGGGATGGGAATGGGGTGGGAATGGGGTGGGAATGGGGTGAGACTGGGATGGGACTGGGAAGGGAACGGGGTGGGAATGGGGTGGGAACGGGGTGGGACTGGGAAGGGAATGGGAAGGGAATGGGGACTGGGATGGGAATGGGATGAGACTGGGATGGGAATGGGAATGGGGTGGGACTAGGATGGGAATGGGGTGGGAATGGGATGGGAATGGGGATGGGAATGGGGATGGGAACAGGATGAAGATGAAGATGAAGATGAAGATGAAGATGAAGATGAAGATGAAGATGAAGATGAAGATGAAGATGAAGATGAAGATGAAGATGAAGATGGAGATGGAGATGAAGATGGAGGTGATGGAGATGGGGTCATGGAAGGGGACAGGACGGGGGCCCAGGATGAGGATGGAGATGCACACAGGGAGCAGGACGGGCCCAGGGGTGGGCATGGGGAGCAGGACGGGCCCAGGGGTGGGATGGGGAGCAGGACGGGGCCCAGGGGTGGGCATGGGGAGCGGGACGGGCCCAGGGGTGGGCATGGGGAGCAGGACGGGGCCGGGCACGGGGGTGGCAGCGGGGTGGCCCGGGCGGAGCTCACGGTGCCCAGCGGCTCCTCCAGGCAGAAGCAGCGGGTGAAGACGCGGCCCTCGGGCTGCGGCACCATCTCGATCAGGTTGCTGCTCTGCAGCAGCTCCGCTTGCCGCCGCGTCTTGGGCGCTTCCGTCTGGCACTGCAGGGACACAGCGGCGGGGGTGGCAGGGAGGGTGCCAGGGGACAGCCGGGGCCGTGGGGACAGCCAGCACGGGGCCGTGGCACAAAGGGGACAGACCTGTCCTCGCTGCGCCTCAGTTTCCCCTGTGAGGAAAACCCTGAGAGTGCACAGGGCAGGTCCAGGGTCCGGCTGGGGTTGAGGTGGGGGCACTCGGGGACACTCGGGGACACTCGGGGACACTCGGGGACACTCGGGGGCACTCAGGGGCAGTTGGGGACATTTGGGGGCACTCGGGGACACTTGGGGACACTCGAGGACACTCAGAGACACTCAGGGACACTCAGGGACACTCAGGGACACTTGGGGACATTTGGGGGCACTCGGGGACACTTGGGGGCACTTGGGGACACTCGGGGGCACTCAGGGACACTTGGGGGTACTCAGGGGCACTTGGGGGCACTCGGGGACACTTGGGGACACTTGGGGACACTCAGGGACACTTGGGGACACTCGGGGACATTAGGGGACACTTGGGGACACTCAGGGACACTCGAGGACACTCAGAGACACTTGGGGACACTCAGGGACACTCGGGGTTACTCAGGGACACTCGTGGGCACTCGGGGACACTCAGGGACACTCAGGGGCACTCAGGGGCAGTTGGGGACATTTGGGGGCACTCGGGGACACTTGGGGACACTTGGGGACACTCAGGGACACTCGGGGTTACTCAGGGACACTCGTGGGCACTCGGGGACACTCAGGGACACTCAGGGGCACTCGGGAGCACTCAGGACTACTCAGGGACACTCGGGGACACTCAGGGACACTCAGAGACACTCAGGGACACTCAGGGACACTCAGAGACACTCAGGGACACTCAGGGACACTCGAGGACACTCGGGGACACTCGGGGGCACTCGGAGGCATTCAGGAGTACTCAGGGACACTCAGGGACACTCAGAGACACTCAGGGACACTCAGGGACACTCGAGGACACTTGGGGACACTCAGGAGCACTCGGGGATACTCAGGGGCATTTGGGGACACTCAGAGACACTCGGGGACACTCGGGGACCCTCACCCCGCTGGCAGAGATCTCGCAGCACCCCTCCTGCCCGGCCAGCTGGGCGTCGCAGTAGATCTGGGCTTGCTGGATGTCGAACTGCGGCGGGGCGCGGGTGACGGCTCAGGGGTGGCCCTGGCACGGCGGGCAGAGCCCCCCTGACCCCGGGCACTCACCCGGACCGGGGTGCCACGCGCGGCGTCCAGCCCCAGCAAGGCGTTGCCCTCCGGGGCCAGCGCTCGCCGCGGGCCCAGCGGCTTGGAGGCGATGGAGGCGCAGTCCAGGTGCACGGCCACGGCGCGGCCCTGCACGGCCACCACCACCTTGTGCCAGCGCCCGTCGAACAGGGACGCCACGGCCTTGCCCGCGAAGATGGCGCTGACAAAGTCGGTGCCCAGAGCCCGGGCCTGGAACTCCAGGCTTCTCTCGGGGCCGTGCACGGACAGGGAGAGCTGGGCACAGAGGGGGCAGCGCTCAGGGACGGCTCCTGGCTGCTCCCGGGGTGTCCCAGCGCGTCCCCAGGGTGTACCTGGGGGTATCCCTGCCGGTCGGTGACCTGGAAGAGGTGCCAGTGCTCCCCGGTGCTGTTCTTCTTCAGCAGCAAGGTGAGGACCAGGGTGAAGGTGGGGGGCAGCCCCCGGGGGAACACCTGCCTGTGGGGACAGCTCTTGGGGTGCTCTGGGCATGGAGCTGGCACCGAGGCTGGTAGCACCCCAACAACCCCCCCGCCATGGGTCCTGCCGTGCTCTGTCCCCACTGGTGGCACCATCACAGTGGGTCCTGCCCCACGCCGTGCGCCCCAAAGGTGCTGGTGAGGCTGCAGCGCCCAGGGCTGTGTTTGCACCCCAAAATCTTGGCGCTGGGGAGCCAGGAAATGCATCCATCACCCCCAAGGCAGCCCTGGCAGCTTTGCCCAGTTCATCCACTGGAAGGAAATCTTTGCTCTGGGCTCCGCTCCGCTCCCGGCTCGGCTCCACACCCGCGGCTTTCCAAACCACAGCCCTGGAGCTGCACCAAGGGACGGGCACTGGGATGAGGCCAGCGGTGCCCTCTGCTCCCCATGGGGCACGGGGACACCCTGCCGGGGCGCTGAGGTGGGTGGGCACCCCCAGGATGGCACAGCCTGAGCTGGCCCCATCTCCAGACACCCCGAGGTTGGATTTGGGATGCCAGGAGCACCCGGCCAAGAGCAACACCAGCCTGGAGCATCCAGCCTCCCTCCCGAAGCCATCCAAGGGTTTGGCTGCCCAGGCTGGATCTGCCGGCCCTCTGGAGAGCCCCGTGCCCACAGGGCACTGTGCCAACCCCAGGGCGATGCAGGGACACGCCGCAGCGTTTCCTGCAGGAGCAGCTCCCGAGGACGTGGATCCGCTGCCTCCCTGCCACGCCGCAGCATCCCTGCCAGCCCTGGCACCGTGGGCACCAGAGGCGAAGAGAACACGGGCCAGTCGCCCTGTGCCCCCCCCTGGCAGCCCCCCAAAACCCTGCTCGGAGCTTCTGGAGCTCGTCTGGCTCTGCCAACCACAGAGCAGCCACAGAGCCCTGCCTGAGCAAGGTTTGGCCACCACCCGGCAGGACGGGCTTTACTTTCGAGGAGAAAGGTGTCGGGGCAGCCTCGGGGTGCCCGGTGTCCCCACGGGTGGCACGGAGCTGCCTGGCATCCCTGGCACTCCTTGGCACCCAGCTCCACCCACACCCCAACTTTACAACACCCAGGGGTGGCCTGGAGGAGTTTTGGGTCACTCAGAGCCACCTCAGGGGTCACCCAAGGCCACCTCGGGGGTCAGCCAGTGCCACTCACCGCGTGGGCTGGACCAGGGGCACGGTGCCCAGGCGCAGCACCGCCGGCCCCCGGGCGCTGCGGATCTTTTTGATGGAGGAGATCTTCAGCAGGTCGAACCTTTTCACCAGGTTAAAACCTGCGGGGCAGAGCCGGGGGGACATGAGACCTGGCCCTGGGACAGGTGACAGTCCCCAGGCAGGTCACAGAGGTGTCAGGGGATGCCCGAGAGGGGCTTTCCTTACCCGTGACGTTCTCGTACTTGTCCCCAAGCAGATCCTCGTCCCAGAGGTGCGGGCACAGCTCCCCTGTGGGGCAAAGCAGCGCGTCACTGTCACCGCAGCGTCCCCAGGAGCCGTGGGACCAGCAGGGTGGGGACACGCAGAGCTCCCCACGCCCACGGGGGCCTCGGGGTGCTGCCAGCCCCCGGGGAAGCGCCCGGAGTAAATCCCAGCCCCGGGAGCCGGGAGGAGGAGGCTGGAATGGTCCAGGAGCTGCTCGGAGGGGACAGAGATCAGAGGGGACAGAGTTTTGGAAGGGACAGAGCTCAGAGGGGACAGGGCTGGGAGGGGACAGAGCTTTGGAAGGGACAGAGCTCAGAGGGGACAGAGCTTTGGAGGGGACAGAGCTCAGAGGGGACAGGGCTGGGAGGGGACAGAGCTTTGGAGGGGACAGAGCTCAGAGGGGACAGAGCTGGGAGGGGACAGGGCTAGGAGGGGACAGAGCTTGGGATGGGACAGAGCTCAGAGGGGACAGGGCTCAGAGGGGACAGGGCTGGGAGGGGACAGAACTTGGGAAGGGACAAGGCTGGGAGGGGACAGGGCTTGAGAGGGGACAGGGGACAGAGCTTGGGAGGGGACAGAGCTTGGGAGGGGACAGAGATCAGAGGGGACAGAGCTTGGGAGGGGACAGCTTTGGAAGGGACAGAATTTTGGAGGGGACAGAGCTTCGGGGACAGAGCTTGGGATGGGACAGAGCTTTGGAGGGGACAGAGCTTCGGGGACAGAGCTTGGGAGGGGACAGAGCTCAGAGGGGACAGAGCTGGGAGGGGACAGAGATGAGAGGGGACAGGGCTGGGAGGGGACAGGGCTGGGAGGGGACAGAGCTGGGAGGGGACAGGGCTCAGAGAGGACAGAGCTCAGAGGGGACAGAGCTTTGGAGGGGACAGGGCTCAGAAGGGACAGGGCTCAGAGGGGACAGAGCCGGCCCTGCTGCCTCCCACGGGTGAAATGCTCTCCGCAGCTCTGGCGTGTCTCGCCTCCGAGCAGCCCCGCGGCTGGAATCAGCATCAGGAGGCTCGGCCGGGCGCCAGGGACACCCGCAGTGCCACCGAGAGCTGTCCCTTCCTGTCCCCTCCCGCTGCCCTCGGGGACAGGCGTGAGGCTGAGGAGCAGGAAATGGGGAATGCCGAGGCAGGCGCGCTCAGGGGGTGCTGCTGCTGTTTGCAGCAGGATAAATCCCAGCTCCGGCAGCACCCAGCCACCTCCAGATGTGCCAGATGTTGCGAGGTGCGAGATAAAGGAGTAAACAGGGGGGTAGGGAGAGAGGGATTTGTTTTGTCTCCATGCAAACTGGCCCTGGAGGAGGATAGGCACCAAAAATTCTCCCAACTCTTCCTCGGATGTTCCTGGAGGGTCTCTGATCCCCCCACCCCCAAACCCCTGCCCACCTCTGTCCAAGAGCTTGGCACCACCGTGGCTTGTGCCCCAGGCTGACCACAGGGTCAGGGGGGTGGGGACACGCTCTGGGTCTGGGGACCCCAACCGATGCCACAGCAGTGAATGCCACTGTCACTGCCACCTGGGCAGGGGTCACCAAGGAGCATAAATCACCCCAGTGCGAGCCCTTGGAAGCCTGTCCCAGCCCTGCTGCTGCTCCCAAGGGAAAATCCCGCCTGTCCAATGCTCTGTCACTCAGGAAAGGCCGTGCCGGGCAGCAGGAGAGGGTGACAATGGCAGTGTCCCCTCCTGGGCAAACCCGGGCTCCACCCCAAGCACGGTGTAGCTTCCAGCGGCTCCTCCGCTGGAGCGCGGGGCTCATCCCACACCGGGAGCCACCGCCAGGCCGGGGACACCGGGCAGAGCCGGGCTCAGCCATCGTGGACACCCCCCAGCCCTCCCCCATGCTGTGGATCATGGCCAGAGCTCTTCCGTGGGTGCTCACCCTGCCCGAGGCTGTCCTGGCTCACCTGCCCCACCCGGAGCAGCTGAATGCCACTGCCAGTTGGCACCGAGTGTCCCCCAGCCCCATCCCTCCCTGCTGGCACGGCTGTGGGGGCGGTGTTGGGGTGTCGGGGTGTCCCCCCGCAGCCGGGCTGGCTCGGCTCTGCTCCCCCCGGCCCCTCACCCTCACGGGATGCTGAGCAAAGCCCCGGTGCTCGCTCTGGAGCCGCCACAGCCGCCGGTGCCACCTCGGCTCTGCCACCCCCGGGGCTGGCCCAGCTGGGACAGGGACAGCGAGGAGGGAGGTGGCTCCCGGTGGTTCTCACCTTCCGCTGGCAGCGGCTCCGTCCCCTGGCAGGCGCTGAGGAGCCCGGTGAGCACCAGGGCCCAGAGACCCCTCATGGTGCCCGTGGCACGGGCGCAGGGCCCACACGGCCACCTGCAAGGGAGACACCCCGGGATGGGCACCTGGTGGCCACCAGCCCGTCAGGTCGCCCACACCAGCATGGAGTGGCACTGACCCTCCCGGCCACAGCCATGGCTCAGTTTTGGGGTCAGTGTGGCCCCCACCCACCCCAAACCTCAGCATCCCTGCGTGTCCCTGCCAGCACCCGAATTTACCCCAAACATTTGGAAATGCAGCGGCTGAGGTTCCCCAGAGTGGAACCTGCGTGCACCCACCCAGGACGGTCTCACCTCCTCCCGGTCCCGCGTGGATCCCGCGGTGTCCCCGCAGGTCACCCCGACCTGGCGCCCCTCCTGCTTCCTGCCACGAGGCAAACCGGGGCTGCAGGCAGCGAGCCGGGACAGACGGACACGCTCGGCCCCGGGGGCTGCTGCCAGAGCGGGATGTGCGCCCCGTTTTCACCCCACGCACCCCCCGGGACCCCCGGCAGCGGGGCCACCCCTGCCCTGCCCCGCTGCCTGCTCGGGGCTCCCGCAGCCCTTCGCAGCCCCGCTGTCCCGAGCCACAACCCCTTCACCGCCTGTCCCCTGTGTCGCCCCCCGGCCCCGCTGGCACTGCCCGTGCCCCCCGCTTCTGCCACCCCCTGCGCCCCCCGCCCGCTGCCCGCCTTCCCTGCGCCGCACCCTCCGCACCCGCGGGTCCCCGCGGCCCCGGGGCGTGATTAACTCCGGTGATTAACGGGGAATCCCTCCTCGTCCCGTCCCGCCGCGGGGCCGGGCTCTGCCGGGCTCCACCCGGTCCCGGTGCGGGGCTGCCCGGGGCTCACCTGCGCGGGGCTCGGGGGGGTGCGGGACACCGGGAACTCCTCCTCGGGACACCGGGAAATCCTCCTCGGGACACCGGGAACTCCTCCTCGGGACACCGGGAACTCCTCCTCGGGACACCGGGATCTCCTCCTCGGGGCACCGGGACACCGGGAACTCCTCCTCGGGACACCGGGAACTCCTCCTCGGGACACCGGGAGCTGCCGCGCCGCCCCCGCCGCCTTCCCCGCCTCCCTCCCGGGGCAGCCCGAGCCGCCCCCCAAGCGCTGCCCGCCCTCCGCACCACCCCCCCAACCCGGGTGGGCCCCGACCGCCGTCCGCCTTCGCATCCCGCCCTCCTCCTCCTCCTCCTCCTCCTCCTCCTCCTCCTCCTCCTCGGGCGCCTCTCCCGGCAGCGCCTCCGCTCCTTCCCCCCGGCCCAGAAGAGGGGAACCCCAATGCTGGGATGGGTTTGGTGTATCCCATTCCCTGTCTGCCACCCCTGTCCCCAAGCCACCCTCTTCCAGCCGGTGCTGGCATCGCTGGGCACGATGTCCCCACGGCAGGAGGATGTCCCTCAAGGATGCTCCCGCACTGGCACGGCCCCAGGAGCAGCTCCGAGGCGCGGGGACAGCCAGCCCGCTGTGTGACACCGAGCTGCTGTCCCCTCCCTGCGCCTTGGGGTGGCTTGGGGACAGCCTGGCTCAGGGCGCGGGGTCAGATCGCTGCCACCATCCCCGCCGCTGGCACCGCCGATTGCCCAGAGCTGTGCCAAGCCCTGCAGGGATCCGCGCCCATCCCGCCGTGCCAGCCTGGAATGCTGCCCTGGGGTCTGGCTGCCCCGCTCTGCCCCATCCTCCCGTGCCCGTGCGTGCCAGGCCGCCCGGACCCCCCAAAACCGGGCAGGGAACGAGCCCAGCTGATGCCAGTTTGGGTCTGGAGGGTGCCAAACATCCGCTGGCATCGCCGTGGCTGTGCCACCGTGCTGGGGTGGCACGGGACACCCGGGATGGCTCAGCTGCCACCGTGCTGGGGTGGCACGGGACACTGGGGATGGCTCAGCTGTGCCACCGTGCTGGGGTGGCACGGGACAGCATCGCCGTGGCTGTGCCATCGTGCTGGGGTGGCACAGGACACCCGCGATGGCTCAGCTGCCACCGTGCTGGGGTGGCACGGGACACTGGGGATGGCTCAGCTGTGCCATCGTGCTGGGGTGGCACAGGACACCCGCGATGGCTCAGCTGCCACCGTGCTGGGGTGGCACGGGACACCCGGGATGGCTCAGCTGCCACCGTGCTGGGGTGGCACGGGACACCCGGGATGGCTCAGCCGCGTTTTCTCCCAAATTGTGATGGATCTATTCGGGCTGCAGCTTTAGAGACGCGCGAGGGACGCATGGATCTCAATAAACTCGCTAATTAACAACTGCTGATTATGCTGACGCTGTAAATAAGCTGTCGTGGCTCGGCTCCGCCAGCCTCTTGCCCGCCAGGCCCGGCGACGTGGTGACAATGCTCCCGCGAGGTGCCTGCTGCGGTAATTAAGGGTAATTAAAGCAAGTGGGAACGAAAGCACAGCGAAAACTTCTCGTTCTCGCGTTTAGGATGAATGTTCACCTCGAGCTGCTCTTCGGTTTTGGGGCCACAAACTGGGTGAAATGGGTTTGTGTGTCCTGGGGGTGGGGGGGCACGGCCCCAAAAGTGTCCCCAAATCCCATCCCAACCCCAGAACAGAGCAGGGATGAGGAGCAGCCTCATGCCACCCTCTGCAGCTCCCGGGATCCCCAAAACGCTGCGGCACCCTTCCCGCTGCTGGTGAGCTGCCCCCCAAAAACCCACCCGGGGGGTGCCCCAGCCGTGGGCAGGGGGCTCCGTGCCAGCCCTGAGCCCCCCAAAAACCCACCCGGGGGGTGCCCCAGCCGCGGGCAGGGGGCTCCGTGCCAGCCCTGAACCACCCAAAAACCCACCCGGGGGGTGCCCCAGCCGTGGGCGGGGGGCTCCGTGCCAGCCCTAAACCCCCCAAAAACCCACCCGGGGTGTGGGGGGCTGGCAGCCGCGGGCAGGCGGCTCCGTGCCAACCTTGAACCCCCCAAAACCCACCCGGGGAGTGCCCCAGCCGTGGGCAGGGGGCTCCGTGCCATCCCTGAACCCCCCAAACCCACCCGGGGGGTGCCCCAGCCGTGGGCAGGGGGCTCGGTGCCAACCCTGAACCCCCCAAAACCCTCCGTTTCCCTCACTTCCCAGGGTGCTCCCCTGGTTTCTTTGTCCCCAAATCAGTGTCACAAAGCCACCGCGACACCCCCAGGGGTGTGGGTACCCCCTCTCCGCGCAGCTCCTGCCTCCCGTCGCTTCTCCAAGCGCGGGCCCGGCATTTCCAGGGGGATAAAAAAGGCGGATCGCGGCTCCCCAGAGCTGTGCCTTGGAGCGGTGCCCAGCGGGGGGATGGAAAGCCGGATCCCGATCCCCCCTGCCAGAATCCCAGCCTGGAAAAAGCAGAGGCGCGCTGCTCTTCCAAGAAACTGCCGCGCCGCTTGCCAAAAAAAAACCCTGAGCAGAGCCCGACAATTTTTTGGGGCTGGGAGAGAATTTTTACCTCCGGGCCCGAAGCGTCACCGCGGTGGTTGTGTTACCCTGGGGCTCCCCACTTCTCACCCCCTCATCCCCTCCCAAAAAAGTGTCCCCAAATCCAGGGAATGAGGGTTTGGGGTGACGCCGTCCGGCCCACGCTGGCTCAGAGGTCTGGACGAGGCGCAGGAGGGAATTCCTGCGGTGAGGATTTCAGCTGCTCAGCATGAATTTCTGCACCAACCCAGGCACAATTCCACCCCCCTCCCCGCCTAATTCCAGCCGGGAAGGAAAGATCCGGCAGGAATTCTTTCCAGCATCCTCGGGCCGTTTCTACCCGCGGTGCTAGAACAGCATTTTTGCATTTTTGCCTCTTTTTGGTGAAGTTTTCTCGCCCGGAGGAGCGGAGGGAGGAGAAGCTCCGCGGAGTTCCCGTCCCCCCGCGCAGCCTCAGAGCGGCTTCTCCATCATTTCCGCCCCCCCAAACCGCACATTTTTGGCACATTTTGGGGTGGGACACATGGGAGCTGCGGATGGAAAAGGCTCCGGAGCTCTGGGATCTGCTCTGAGCCACCCCGCAGGACTGGGGGCTGTCCCTTGTCCCCTTACACTGCGCCTCTCGCCCGGGCTCCGTTCCCTCGCCCCATCTGGCGTCTCCATGAGTAATAAAAGCTGTTAATTGCCAACAGATGCCCCAGGAAACCCTGGCGCTGCTTCTCGCCGCTCTGTGTTTGGCTGGGAAGGAGAGGAGGGGAGCTGGAGCAGGTCCCGGGTCCCCCCAAAGCAGGGGGAGGGAGCGGGGGGGGATCCCAGTGCGTGGCAGCTCCCAGAAAGCAGAGCTGGAGACGCGGCTGCAGAATTTCCAGCAGAATTTCCAGCAGAATTTCCAGCAGAATTTCCAGCAGGATTAGGGAACAGCGGGGGGACACCCCAGGGAGGGGATGGTGACCCTGACCCGAGCCCCCTGGCAGCCCCTGGCTGTGCCAGGACGGGTCACCCACGGTCCTGACCCCTGGTGTGGGCAGCCAAAATCCTTGTGCTCGTGGCAGTCCCCTCCCTGGGCACCCTTAGGAGGTGGCAGCGGAATAATTTGGCTTCTTCCACCCTCTCCTCTTCACTCCCATCACCACGTTGGAACCCAAATGGCTTTTTCCAGCGTGCCAAACCTGAACTGGGCACCGCTGGGATGAACTGGGTTATGAAATTGGTGTTTCCATCCCCTGGCGCGGCTGGGGAGAGGCTCCCCCACTCCAAGGGTCACGTCCCGTCCCAGTGTCCCAGCACTGGGGCTGGGAGCAGCCCTGTCCTGCCCCACGGTCCAGCCCAAACTGTACAGCGCCCTTTGCTCTCTCCAGGCCTGTCCTGTCCAAGGGAAGCCCTCAGGAAGCTCAGGAGGCTTTTCCAGAGGGAAGGAACAGCCGTGACCGGGATCTGCTCCCACCAGGGCACCGCCACGGCTCTCACAGCGGGAGGATTTCAGCGCTGCGATGCCACCGTGGATCAAAATCTCATCCCAGCCGTGCTGAGAGCCACCAGCAGAGATGTCCTGAGCAGAGATGTCCTGCCCCAGCTCCTGCTCTGGCCATTCCCACCAGAGCTGCTGGTCCTGCTCGGGATGCTCCGCGTGGTGCCGACCTCCGAGATTCCCGATTCACTCACTGATTAATCACTCGTTAATTACTACTCCCGGTTCCCGTGATCAGATGCTCATTTGCAGGATCAGCCTTGCTCGGTGAGGGGGGTGGAATTTTGGGGCACAGCGGGGGTGACACCGTGTGACACCGGGTGACACCGGGTGACAGCCACCCCCGGGAGAAGCACGAGGCGGCGGCCGCGGCCCCACGGCACCACAGAGAGTGAATTTTATTTCCAACAACGACAGCACCTGCCCCGTGGGGTGGGGACAGTGGGGAGGGCTGGGTGGGAGGGGGCGGCCGCGGGGGTCCCGGGCTTTGGGGGTGGGGGGGATCCCGGGGGGCGGCCGCTCGCGTGCACACGGTGCACGGCGTGAAGAAACATCCCGGTAGAAAAGAACGAAGGTCTGAGGGCCTCGACCTGCCCCGGGGTGGGGGTGCAGGCGTGAGCGTGGGTGAGCATTTTGGGGGGTGGGGGAAGGCCGCGGGTCCCCTCCACACCCGCGTCCCGGGGGTGGCAGGAGGAGGAACCGCGAGAGGATGAACGGGAGGCGGAAAACAGCTCCGACCAGGCAGGGACCCCCACCCTGGCTGCCCCCCGAGCACGGAGCAAACCCAGCGCGGCCACCGGGGCTCACACCTCCGTCTGGAAATCGCCGTCGGCCGCGTCCAGGCCGCCGCAGGGGCTGTCCCAGTCTGCCCGGCACAGCTCCAGCCGGTCCCGCTGGGCGCTGGGCAGCGAGCCCAGAGTCATCGCCTTGAACGTGCTCCATGGTTTGGGCGGCGCGGCCGGAGCCTTCGGCCTCTGCTCCTCGGGGCTGGTCACCTCCTGCACGGTGAGGGGCAGCTGTGGCCTGGCTCTGCCCCACAGCCACCTCCTGCCCTCTCCTGGATGGGATGGGACAACCCCCATGGCGGGTTCAGGACTTACGTTGGCCGTGCTCTTGTCCCCGCCGCCCGACGAGACGCTCCACCGCTTTTCTCGCTGCGGAAAAACCCCAGCGCTCAGCCCCGGCAGCACCCCTGGGTGCCCTCCGTCTCCCCGGGGTGCCAGTCCATGCAGGAGGAGGTAAAGGCTCGCAGGGTGCACAGCAGGGCAGGACGGGGCCTCCAGGACCTCACCTTGGAGGAGCCGGTGGACGGAGCCCGGTACCGGTCCAGCGTGTGGAATTTCTGGTTGAGCTCGTGGTAGAGCTCGGAGTGACGTTTCCGTGTGTGCATCACCTTCTGCGGGGGCAGAGCACAGCCTGTGGCCGTCGGCGCTGCCCGCTGTCCCTCGGCGCTGTCCCCTGTCCCTCAGCATTGTCCCCTGTCCCTCGGTGCTGTTCCCTGTCCCCTGGCGCTGTCCCCTGTCCCCTGGTGCTGTCCCTCGGCGCTGCCCGCTGTCCCTTGGCACTGTCCCCTGTCACTCAGTGCTGTCCCTCAGCACTGTCCCCTGTCCCTCAGCACTGTCCCCTGTCCCTCAGCACTGTCCCCTGTCCCTCGGTGCTGTCCCCTGTCCCCTGTCCCCTGGTGCTGTCCCTTGGCGCTGTCCCCCGTCCCTTGGCGCTGTCCCCCGTCCCTTGGCACTGTCCCCTGTCCCTCGGCGCTGTCCCCTGTCCCTCAGCACTGTCCCCTGCCCCTCGGCGCTGTCGCCAGTCCCTCGGCGCTGTCCCTGTCCCTTCGTACTGTCCCCTGCCCCTCAGCACTGTCCCCTGTCCCTCAGCACTGTCCCCTGCCCCTCAGCACTGTCCCCTGTCCCTCAGTGCTGTCCCCTGTCCCTCGGCACTGGCGCTGTCCCCTGTCCCTCGGCACTGTCCCCTGGCGCTGTGCCCTGTCCCTTGGAACTGTCCTCTGTCCCTCAGCACTGTCCCCTGTCCCTCAGCGCTGTCCCCTGACCCTCGGCGCTGTCCCCTGTCCCTCAGCACTGTCCCCTGTCCCTCAGTGCTGCCTGCTGTCCCTCGTCACTGTCCCCTGTCCCTCGTCACTGTCCCCTGTCCCTCAGCATTGTCCCCTGTCCCTCGGCGCTGTCCCCTATCCCTCAGCACTGTCCCCTGCCCCTTGGCACTGTCCCCAGTCCCTCAGCACTGTCCCCTGTCCTTCAGCACTGTCCCCTGTCCCTCAGCGCTCTCCCCTGTCCCTCAGTGTTGTCCCCTGTCCCTCTCCCCTGTCCCTCAGCACTGTCCCCATCCCTGTCCCCATCCCTGCACCCCGCACAAGCAGCAGCGCCCACTCTGTGCCCACTCTGTGCCCCCTCCGCGCCCACTCCGCGCCCACTCCGCTGTTTCGGCGCAGACCAGCGCTCGCTGCTGCCTGTTTTAAACCCCTCAGAGCTCAGGGGCTGCCGGCGGGCCGAAGGATTGGGGACAAACCGGATCGGTCCCCAGGATGGCACCGGTGACACCTCCGTGACGGGACTTACCTCGAAGTCCAGGTCAGAGTACCGCAACCTCTTCCTCTGGCGGGGGAACAGGCAGGAGCAGGGGAGGAGACGGAGAAGAAAAGGGAAAGGTCTTTGCAGGGCCGGGACGAGGGGGACAGGGTTTGGGGGTTTGGGGGTTCATGCCACCCCCAATCCATGCCCGGCTGGGGACACGGAGCTCATCCCGCCGAGGGTGGGATGGCCAGGGGGGAATTCATGCAAACCCACACGTGCACTCGTGTCCTGGGCACACACATCCCTCCCCACGCTTGTGCCCGCGGGCACCAGCGCCCCGCTCACCTCCAGCGACCCCACTTTCATGGCAGAGCCGGGCACGGTGCGGGGCATGGTGCGGCTGCGCTCCGACAGCTCCGAGGCCAGGATCTGCCTCACCGTGGGGTGCTGCTTGAACTGGAGGCCGTAGGGCGCCTTCACCGTCGCGTAGGGCTGGTTGAGGTTCACGTTGACGCGATCCACCGCCACAAAACCGGGGTACGCGTCCCCTTCGGCCGCCGGGCGCCCCGTCCCGCCGGGCACCGTCTCCTCCGTGCCGGCACCGAGCGTGGCCTCGTCCCGGGGGAAAGGTTTGAGGCTGCCGGTGCGGCGGGGCAGCATCATGTAGTCGCTCTCGCGGGGCGGCTCCGGGGCCCGGATCCAGCCGTATTCCAGGGGTCTCAGGCTGCTCTCGGTGCACAGGTAAACGGGACCCGGCGCCTCCAGGCCGAGCTGCTGCGCCGGCGGCTCGCCCAGCTCGGTCAGCCCCGCCACCACGTTGGGTGTCATCTTGGGCACCTGCACCAGGATGCTGGCGGGGGGGATGTTCCCGGGCAGGCTGGAGAAGCCCAGGCCGCCCTCCGAGGTGGTGTTGAGCTTGGGGTCTTCGTCCCCGTCCAGGGAGATGCGGGACAAGGTGCCGGTGATGGTGGCGGGGTTGCAGGTGTTCACCTCTTTGAACAGCACTGCGGGCGGGGAGCGGGGTCAGAGCCGGCCCCGAGGGTCCCGCGGAGGTGGGGGGACACGGGAGAGACCCCCTGGCTCGTGCTGCCTGTCCCTCCCAGGTGTGGCAAGGTGACAACAGAGGGGAGCTCACCTGTCTGACACGCCAGGTCAACGTCCTTTTCAAAATCTGTCTATAAAAATCCAGAAAGAAGGGAGAGAGCGAGAGAGAGAGGAGAGAGAGAGAGGGAGAGAGAGAGAGACGGGGAAATGAAGCAGCACGGCCGGCACGGGGGGCAGCGGTGGGGTCTGCAGGCTGGGGGACCCCACTCACCAGGATCTGCACCTGCCCGTTCTTGCAGGAGTCGGGCGAGTTTTCATTCTCCTCGCTCCTGCACCCCCCCATCTGACACTTGACCACGTCCTGGACCTGCGGGGACAGAGGCGGTCACGGCCCCGCGGCCCGGGCTGGCCCCCGGTACCCCTCCGGTGCCACCCCACCTCTCGGCGCAGGAAGCCGTGCACGGTGATGATGACGAAGCCCTGGACGGAGTTGAAGACGGCGAAGAGGACCTGGAAGAGGATGGAGCGCCGGTCGGTCATGGCGAGCACGGCCGACATCCAGGTCAGCGCCAGCAGAGGCAGGACCACGCAGGAGCTCCACAGCGATGCCCTGGCGCAGGGAGAGAGGGGCCGGGGTGAGCCCGCGGGGTGGGATTGCCCCGGGACAGCCCCCCCGAGCACTGCCCCCCTCCCCCGCAGCAGCCCCCCGAGCCTCGCCCCGCGCCCCAAAGCATGGCCGGGGCTGTGTCACCCAGCTGTCCCCTCTTCCTCGGTGTCCCCAAGGAGGGCTGAGGGGACCTGTGGCCTCCAGCAGCCTCCCCAAGGTGTGTCCCTGTCCCCTCACAGCCACAGGGTGCTGGGGGGGACGCGGGGCCACCGCCACCCTCCCACGGCCACCAGAACAGCGGAGAGGCGATTATATATATTTTTTTTTTTTAAATTTTTTTTTTAGCAGCAAATTTTGGGGCTGCCTCTGCTGTGACTAAACCCCCGTGAGGGAGGACTTCAGCAGCCTCCGGAAGAGGGTCCCGGGGACACCCCCCGAGCTTGTACCCCTCACCCTTAGGCCAGAAGAGCCCCCCCAAACCCCAGCGATGAGGTGACCTGCCATGGGGAAGCCATGCCATGCAGACGTGATGGGACACCCCGCCCCGAGCACAGAGCATCACCCTTCCTTCCATCCTTCCATCCTTCCTTCCCCTCGGGGACCCCCAAGCCGCCCCCCAAGCCCTTCGGGGAGATGCCCAGAGCCCCCCCAACATCCCGCGCTGTGCTCGGGGCGGGGGGCACGGGGCTGGCACTAACATGGCACTGCTGGCGGTGGCGGAGGTCATGGCCGCGCTGGACACCACGCCGCACTTGGTGCATTTCAGCAGCAGGCTGCCGCACGGGGGGGGCTTGGAGCTACCAGCCCAGAGCCCCCCCGGCGCCCCACGGCCAGGACCGGGCCACGCGGGGTGAGGGGAGGGGGTGCAGGCACGGGAGCAAGGCAGGAGGGCGGGGGGATGGATGGACGGATGGACGGAGGGATGGAGGGACGGACACAGGCAAGAAGCGAATGGGAGGAGAGGAGAAAGAGAGAGAAAGAGAAAGAGAAAGCGCCGGGTTAGTCGAGGGCGGCAGCTGTTAATGGCGAGGGGGGTGGCCAAGCGGCAGGGGAGGGGGCGGCACGGAGGGGGGGCTGCGGCCTGCGGACCCCCCTTCTTCCCCGAGGGAAGGAGCGCGGGTGGGTGCCCCCCAAATTCTGCCCCTCTCACCCCCGCCGCCCCACCCTGAGCCCGCTGCCGGGGTACCCCCGTGCCCAGCCCCCCCGGCAGGGTGCGGGGGTCGGGGGGCAGCCCCGGGGACCCCCCCTCTCCCCCGAGGGGCGCAGGGCACTTACCCAGCTCGCTGCTTTTTGGACTTATCTGAAATGCCCTCGCGGGACATCAGCTTGTTGAAGACGATGATGCCCACCAGCATGTTCACCTGCGGGAGGGTGGGCTCAGGGCTGGCACCGAGCCCCCTGCCCACGGCTGGGGCACCCCCCGGGTGGGTTTGGGGGGCTCAGGGCTGGCACTGAACCCCCTGCCCACGGCTGGGGCACCCCCCGGGTGGGTTTTGGGGGGCTCAGGGTTGGCACGGAGCCCCCTGCCCACGGCTCCCAGCTCCCCCCGGGTGGGTTTTGGGGGACACAGGCTTTTGGGGGGCAGCTCACCAGCACGATGACAGCAGCGGGTCCCACGAAGGCGTAGAGCAAACCGCCCTCCAGCGAGAGCCAGCAGCTGCGGGGGACCGCGGGTCAGGGGACAGCGGGTCAGGGGACAGCCCCGTGGCCGTGCCCTGCTCGCACCAGCCCCTCCCCGTGTCCCCTGTCCCCTGTCCCTGTCCCCACGTACTAGCTCGCTGTCCCGTAGCCTTTGGTCCGTGTGAAGCCGACGGAGACGGCGACCACGAGGGCTGGCAAGCCTGGAGAGGGGACACGGGGCTGGAGGAGCTGGAGGAGCCCCAGGGGTGGGGACAGCGCTGGAGCTCCTCTGACCGCTCCCCACGGCCCGAGGCTGCCGCAGCGGGGACACCCGGGGCTGCTGTCCTCCGCCGTGCCTCAGTTTCCCCGCTGGGGAACCAGGCCGGGCTCTTACCCCATCCCAAGCACAGGAAGCGTTTCCTGACCAGGCGGGTCCGGATCCGGCCGATCACCGCCAGGTAGGACTGCCACGCCTCGGTCAGCACCCAGCAGAAGGACGAGAGGAAGAAGAAGTGGAGGAAGGCGGCGGTCATGGTGCACACGCCCTGCGGGGTGGGGACACGGCGACATCAGGGGGACACAGCCACGCGCTGGCACGGCGGGGGTTAAACCCCCACTCCCCAGTGGAGTTAATCCCGGGATCGAGTTAATCCAAATCCAATCGGCCGGGAGCCAGTAGGGCACCAGCGAGTGGCCTGGGACGCCACCAGCGAGGGTGACAGGGTGGTGACAGGGTGGTGGCACGGTGGTGGCAGGGTGGTGGCACCCACCTTGCTGAGCATCTGGGACTGGCCCACGAGGATGAGGATGTTGGAAGCCAGGATGGAGACGCAGAAGTTGAGCAGGATGATGGAGCGCTCCGACTTGATGAACCTGCGGCAGGAGCGGCGTGGGGCCAGCCTGTCCCTGTCCCTTGTCCCTGTCCCTGTCCCTGTCCCTGTCCCTTGTCCCTGTCCCTTGTCCCTATCCCCGTCCCCATCCCTGTCCCTATCCATATCTCTGTCCCCGTCCCTGTCCCCATCCCTGTCCCTTGTCCCTGTCCCTTGTCCCTTGTCTCTGTTCCTTTTCCTTGTCCCCATCCCTGTCCCTGTCCCTGTCCCTTGTCCCCATCCCCGTCCCCATCCCTGTCCATGTCCCTGTCCTTGTCCCCATCCCTGTCCCTTGTCCCCATCCCTTGTCCCTTGTCTCTGTTCCTTTTCCCTTGTCCCCGTCCCTGTCCCTTGTCCCCGTCCCTGTCCCTTGTCCCCGTCCCTGTCCCTTGTCTCTGTCCCTTGTCCCTGTCCCTGTCCCTGTCCCTGTCCCCATCCCTGTCCTTGTCCCCATCCCTGTCCCTTGTCCCCATCCCTGTCCCAGTCCCCCTGTCCCCCTGTCCCTTGTCCCCATCCTTGTCCCTGTCCCTGTCCCTTGTCCCTGACCCTGTCCCTCTCCCTGTCCCCATCCCCATCCTTGTCCTTGTCCCCATCCCCGTCCCCATCCCTGTCCCTGTCCCCCTGTCCCTTGTCCCCGTCCCTGTCCCTTGTCCCAGGCAGATTCTCCCACCCCGGTTCTCCTCTCCCATTACTCCCATGGATGTTCAGCCTTCCCTGGTGCCGTGTCCCCTCTTGTCACCCTCCTCCCCACACACCCTGGGTGCCCCCCAGGTGCCCCCCAGGTGCCCCCAGGTGTCCCCCAGGTGCCCGTGTGCCCCTTGTCACCTCCAGAAGGCCGCGTAGATCACCAGCAGGGTCAGCAGGGCCATGCAGGACACGGCACAGCCGATCATCAGCGGCACCGACGGCGTCCCCGAGGGGTCCATGGCCTGGGGGACACCGGGGGGGTGACAGGCTGAGCCCAGCCCCCTCCCCACTGCTCCCTGCCAGCCCCTCAATCCCCTCACTGGGGACACCCGGGTGCCCGAAGGGGTGGGTGACAGTGGTGGCCCGGCCCAAGGGGGCTCCATGCCAACAGGGGACGTGGGTGGAATAGCAATGGGGCGCCCCCTCCTCTCCTGGCACCCTGTGTTGAGCTCTGGGGACCACGGCAGCTCCTGCCTGCACAAACCCACCCTGCTGGGGGGTGCTGGGGGGGTGCTGGGGGGGTGCTGGGGGGTGCTGGGGGGGTGCTGGGGGGTGCTGGGACCCTTCCCCTGCCTGCTGGGGACACCCCCACCCTCCAGTGCCCACCTCCTCCTAGTAGGAAACGCTCGGTGCCCATCCCGCCCTCCCTCGGGACCGCCCCCACCCCAGCCGGGGGTCACCCCGCAGGCACACGCCGTGTCCCCAGAGGCTGCTGGCTGTCCCCAGCCTGTCCCCTACCAGGTCTCTGGGCAGCTGGGCGAGCACGGCGAAGGTGGCGAGCTGGCGGCACTGGCACTTGGTGTGCGCCGGGAGGGTCTCCAGGGTTTGGCAGCTCTCCGTGTCCCAGTTTCCCAAGCCAGCATCCCTGATTAATGGGAAGAGAGCGAGGGAGAGCAATTTGAAATGATCCAACACCACGCGCAGCCCCTCCGGAGTTAGTTAACCCCTTCCTGGCCTTGCTAAGAAGGGCACTGCCAGGGGGCACTGCCAGGGGACCCCCCTGAGCTCGGGGAGGGGGTGAAGTCATCCCCGTCCCGGGATGATCCAGTGGAAAGGCTTCGGGTTTAGGAGATTTGGAGGGGAAGAAACATCACAGAGAGGGGCAGGGCAGTGCCAGGAACAGCCCCAAGAGCCCCCTGGCACCCGTGTCCCCTCCCAGGGGGGTGATGATTCCCTCTCTCCATGGGGACCTCTCCTACCATGGGGATCCTCCATTATGGGGACCCCTCTGCCTTTGGGACCCCTCCTGCACTTGGGGACCCTTCTGCCATGGGGACTCTCCTGTTAGAAGGATCTCTGCACCGTGGGGACTCCTCTTTTTATGGGGACCCACCTTCTTGGGGACCCTCGTGCCATGGGGACCCCTCCTGCCAGGGAACCCCCCCAGTGAGGGGGCAGAGAGGGGGGTGGCACTGCCATGCCCAGGAAGAGCATCCACAGCTCCCAGCAGGTCAGGAAAACCGGGAACTGGGTCTGTGGGACAGCTGGGGACTGTCCCTGGGGCTGGGCTGGGACATGCCATGCCCATCACAGCCAACGCCTCCCCAGCGCTCCGGGGGATGAGGCGGAACCGGGGACCCCAAACTGTGGCACTCCCGTGGCTACCTGGGCAGGGGGCTGGCAGTGCCAGCCCGCAGCGCTGCCCGCCCCCCTTCCTGCCCTACTTTCCCTCGTTCCTGCCAGCTCGAACAAATCACATCTGGCAGCCTGGCACGGCCACATCGATCCCGTGGGAGCTCAATTCACCCGGGCCAGTGGGGCTGGGGTGCGGGAAGGGATGGGCCTAGCTCCTCGTGCCTGTTCCCATCCCTGTCCCCATCCCTGTCCCCATCCCTGTTCCCATCTCAGCGCTCCCATCCTGTTCCCCTTTCCCTGTTCCCATCCCTATTTCCATCCCTGCTCCCATCCTGTTCCCATCCCAGTTCTCCCATCCCTGCTCCCCTCTCCTGTTCCCTGTTCCCATTCCCATCCCTGCTCCAATCCCTGTTCTGATCCCTGTTCCCTGCCCCTGTTCCCTGTCCCCTGTCCCTGCTCCAATCCTTAGTCCCTGTCCCCATCCCTATTCCCTGTCCCCATCCCTATTCCCTGTCCCCATCCCTGTTCCTTGTCCATGTCCCCATCCCTGTTCCTGTCCCCTGTCCCTGCTCCAATCCCTATTCCCTGTCCCCCTCCCTGTTCCCCCCTCACTGTCCCCTGTCCCTGTCCCCTGTCCCTGTCCTTGTCCCCATCCCTGCTCCCCGTCCCTGCTCCCCTCCCTCCCAGCCCTGCCCTGGCACTGCCAGCCCCTCCCTGTCCCCAGAGTGTCCCCAGAGTGTCCCCAGAGTGTCCCCAGAGTGTCCCCGTGTCCCCATGCCCCTCACTCACGTCCTCGAGTAGTCCCAGGTGACACACTGCGGGTGGGACGTGCCCTGCGGACACGGGGACAGGTTAGAGCTGCCCCCAGCCCTGTCCCCACCCCGCGGGGCCATGTGGCCCTTGGGGACATTCCCCGACTGTCCCAGGGCTGGCATGTCCCCACCGTGGGCACAGGGACAGCAGGGTGGCACACGGATGGCGTGGGAGGGGAAGGGGACACTCACGGTGGTGATGATGACACGGGAGGGGACAGCCACCATGACAATGTGGGACAAGGGACACTCCCAATGACACTCAGTGATGATGAGGGACACAAACAGTCACGGTGATGTGGAAAGGGGGACACGGGGGGACAAACATCGGTGACATTGGAGGGGGACACTGACATTGATGTCGTGGGAGGAGACGCGCCGGTGACGGTGACGTGGGAAGGGACATTCACGGTGACACGGGAGAGGGACACTCACACTGGTGCCATGGGAAGGGGGACACGGTGACATGAGAAGGGACATTCCAGATGCCAGGAGAGGGGACACACATTGATGACATGGGTGGGGACATTCCCGATGCCAGGGCAGGGGACACTCACATTGATAATGTGGGAAGGGACATTTTTTGTGCCAGGGGAGGGGACAAACATTGATGACACAGGAAGGGACATTCCCGGTGCCAGGGGAGGGGACACTCATATTGATAATGTGGGAAGGGACATTCCCAGTGCCAAGGGAGGGGACAAACATTGATGACATGGGAGGGGACATTCCCGGTGCCATGGGAGAGGGACACTCACATTGATAACGTGGGAAGGGACATTTTTGGTGCCAGGACAGGGGACACTCCCGTTGATGACATGGGAAGGGACATTCCCGGTGTCGGGGCAGGGGACACTCACGTTGATGATGTGGGACAGCTCCACCAGCACCAGCGGCTCTGCGGGCCGGGTCGGCGGACGCACCGTCACCGTCAGCACCTTGGAGGTGACGGCCAGGGGGCTCCTGCGGGAAGGGACACGCGCTGTGACAGGCTGGGGGACAGCGGGGGACACCGCGGTGGCGGTGCCACTCACCTGGGCGGCGGCAGGATGAGCCCCAGCGTGCGGTACAGCACCGCCCCGATGACGAAGTGCGATGATTCCTCGGCTTCTGCGGAGAGAGCCACGGGCTCGGTGACACGCCAGATGTGCGCCCAGATGTGCGCTGGCACCCACGCTGGCGGTCACCCACGCACGGCCCGGGGGTGCGGCTCACGTGTGGGTGTGTGAATGGGAGCCAGATGTGAGCCCACATCTGCAGCAGGCGTGCGCCTGTGGGTGCCTCCAGATGTGCACGCCCACGTGTGCACGCGCCCGCACGCTCCCAGATGTGTGGGCCCACACAGGCGCGCACATCCAGATGTGCAGGGTCACACACGCGTGCACATCCGGATGTGCAGGGTCACACACGTGTGCACATCCGGATGTGCAGGGTCACACACGCGCGCACATCCAGATGTGCAGGGTCATACAGGCGTGCACATCTGGATGTGCAGGAGCGTGTTCATGTTCACACCTGTGTGCACATCTGCACGCTCCCAGATGCGCACACTCCCAACGTGCGCACCTCCAGATGTGCAGGGTCACACCCACGTGCACATCCAGATGTCCACTCACACGTGCATGTTCACACCTGTGCGCACACCTCCAGATGTGCACACTCACAACACGTGCATCTCCGGATGTGCAGGGTCACACATGCGTGCACATCCAGATGTGCAGGAGCACACATTTTGTTCACACCTGTGTGCACAGCTCCAGATGTTCAGGGTCACACCCACGGGCACATCCAGATGTGCACGCTCACACCTGTGCGCACACCTGCACGCTCCCAGACACTCACACTCCCAACGTGCACACCTCCAGATGTGCAAGCACCCTATCCTAAGCATGCAGGACCTTCCAGGCGGACGCATGCCCACCTCCAGCTGTGCCCACCCTGCCAGATGTGCCCACCCTGCCAGATGTGCGCACCCCCGGGCGCTGCTCCCGCTCACCTGCCGAGGCGAGGCTCAGCACCTCCCTGGGGATGAAGAGCTTGTCCTCGGAGCTGCGGGCCCAGTCCTTCATCCCCCGCCGGCCCTTCATGGGGAAGTTGATGTCGCTGGACACGGCGGACACGGGCTCCCGCTGGATGCTGGTCACTGCCAGGGGACACGGGTGTCACCGCCCCGCTCCCGTGTCCCCCCCCTCAGGTGTCCCCAGGGCCGCCCCGCCGCTCACCCAGGTTGTCGGTGACGATGAGGGAGCTCTGGAAAGCCTTCAGCGCGTTCCCCACCAGGTGGATGAAGTCCTCCACCACCTTCATCAGGTGCACGGAGCCGGGAGAGACCTGCGGGAGACGGGAGCAGCTCCGCAACCACCGGGATGTGACGCCCCATGCTGGGGACACCACCTTGGTGATGGGGACACCCCCTTGGTGATGGGGACACTCCATTGGTAATGGTGACACCCCCTTGGTGATGGGGACACCCCCTTGGTGATGGGGACACCCCCTTGGTGATGGGGACACCACATTGGTGATGGGGACACTCCGTTGGTGATAGGAACACCCCATTGGTGATGGGGACACCACCTTGGTGATGGGGACACCACCTTGGTGATGGGGACACCCCGTTGGTGATGGGGACACCACATTGGTGATGGGAACACCACATTGATGATGGGGACACCCCATTGGTGATGGTGACACCACATTGGTGATGGGAACACCACATTGGTGACGGGGACACCACCTTGGTGATGGGGACACCACCTTGGTGATGGTGAAATCCCGTTGGTGATGGGGACACCCTGTTGGTGACAAGGACATCGCGGCTGCCACCGCCACCACCGCGCCACCCACCTGCTGGGCGTCCTCCCACTTGTCGCGGTTCTCCGCGTCCACCATGTAGCTCACCACCTGGAAGAAGCGCTGCGGGGACGGGGCTCAGCGGGGCTGACGGCAGGCCGAGCCACCGCCACCTGTCCCGGGGAGGGGACCCTCGCTGTCCCCCTGGCCGCTACCTGCACGTCCTCGGAGGACGGGATGTAGGTGGCCCTCTTGAAGGTGTCGGTGACGTTGCGCAGGATGTCCACGGAGAAGAGCAGGTCCCCGCTGTAGTAGGTCTTGCGGGCCATGAGCTCCAGCAGGCTCCGCACCACCTGGGACATGCCCTCCCCTGCCAGCACCCGCTGGCCCTTGGCCAGGTGCTCCCGCAGCTGGTACCGGGGAGGGGACAGCGGTGTCACTCTGATGCCACCACCCCCCAGCAGCGCGGCGTGTCCCTCACGGTGCCCAGAGCCCGGGGGATGCTGAGGAGTGAATTAAGGCGGCTGCGGGACGCGCAGGTTGAGGGTGTCCGCAGCGGTTTGGGGACATCCAGGGTGGTCTGGGGACATCCACGGTGATCTGGGCACATTCATGGTGGTCTGGGGACATTCACAGGGGTTTGGGGACATCCAGGGTGGTCTGGGGACATCCACGATAATCTGGGGACATTCATGGTGGTCTGGGGACATTCACAGTGATTTGGGGACATCCAGGGTGGTTTGGGGACATCCAGGGTGGTGTGGGGACATTCACAGGGTTTTGGGGACATCCATGGAGTCTGGGGACATCCACGGTGATCTGGGGACATTCATGGTGGTCTGGGGACATTCACAGGGGTTTGGGGACATCCAGGGTGGTCTGGGGACATTCACGGGTCTTTGGGAACATTCACGGTGATTTGGGGACATCCAGGGTGGTTTGGGGACATTCATGGTGGTTTGGGGACATTCACAGGGGTTTGGAGACATCCAGGGTGGTCTGGGGACATTCACGGGTCTTTGGGAACATTCACGGTGATTTGGGGACATCCAGGGTGGTTTGGGGACATCCAAGGTGGTCTGGGAACATTCACAGGGGTTTGGGAACAATCCCAGTGGTCTGGGGACATCCAGGGTGGTTTGGGGACATTCACAGTGATTTGGGGACATCCAGGGTGGTTTGGGGACATCCAGGGTGGTGTGGGGACATTCACAGGGTTTTGGGGACATCCAGAGTGGTGTGGGGACATTCACAGGGTTTTGGGGACATCCATGGAGTCTGGGGACATCCACGGTGATTTGGAGACATCCAGGGAGGTCTGGGGACATCCGTGGGGGTCAGGGGGCATCCTCTCCATCCCAAAAGCCTTTTCCCAAACACAGGGGGACACAGCCCCCCTCAAGCTCTGGGATGGGATCCCTATTCCCAACTTCACAGGGATCTGAGGGAACCTTCCCATCCCAAGAACCATTTCCCACAGACACAGCCCGGCTGGGATCCCCTTTCCCCGCCCACCCACGGAGCCGTGCCTCAGTTTCCCCATGCCAGAGAGGTGAGGTTGGCTCTTGGAGCGCCAGGGATGGGACAGAGCCCCAGGGACAGGGACAGGGACAGAAGGGGCCGTGTGGGAGCGGGCACCTACTGAGAGATGCAAGTATCTGTACTCGTGGGAGACGCAGCGGGCGAAGCTGGGCACACCCCAATAGGCGACCCCGTGGGGGCTCAGCAGGCACCGGCGGCTGGCAGTCCCTGTGAGGGAGATTTGGGATTGGGGCTGGCACCGCGATCCCTTCCTGGCACCCCGATGCCACCCACAGCATCCTGCGCAGCTCCAGGGGATTTAGGGGTGCTCGACCCCAATGTCACCCACCACCCCCCGCCCCGCCCCACAAGGCCTGACCCCAATGCCACCCCCTTCCCCTGGGGATTTGGGGTGCTCAACCCCAATGCCACCCACCACCCCCTGCCCTCCTCCAGCCCTGGGGGCATCTGGGGTCACCTGTGGCGTTGGGGGGACATTTGTTGTAGATGATCTCCCCGGCAGCCGTCTTCTTCCAGGTCATCAGCATCACGTACTCGTCCTTGCACATCTCGTGGTAGGCTGGGGGGGAACGGGGGGTCAGCACTGCCCGGCTGTGGGGTGAGGGGCGCTGGGGGGGCACGGGGTACCCCATACCTGGGCACTTCTTCTCGTTGCAGGTCTTCACCTCCTCGCCGGTGCCCTCGCAGGGGTAGCCCTGCATGCCTGTGCCCTCGCACATGCGGAAGCGCCGCTGCCAGCCGGTGTCGCAGGTCTTGGAGCAGAGGCTCCAGTGGTTCCAAGGACCCCACTTGCTGTCTGCTGTGGGGATGGGGACACCGTGGGACACCCGGCTCCACGCACGGACAGCGGCACCCGCGGGGACGGCGACGGGGTGGCATCGGCGCCGCCCCACGCGCCGCGAGCCGAAAATCCCGCGGGGTGTGAAACGCGTGGATCAGCGATTTAAATCGCTTTTAGAGCAGACTGGCATCCTGCTGCAGATGCCCACCCTGCTGCGGATGTCCCTCATTCCCTGCCACCATCCACGGGCACCACGGCACAGCCACCGCCTCCCTCCGTGGCTGCCAGCGGTGCCACCGCTTCTCCCACAAAACAAGGAGCGGCTCCAAGGACAGGATGAGGACCCCGTGGTCCATCCTCTGCCCGGCGTCCCCGCGCCCAGAGCCATCCCCAGCCCCACGCCGGACATCTCCCTCGTGTTTTTACGCCCAAAGCACGGCGGGACCCGCCGCCGCCTGGCACCGACGGGTCCCCAGCGCCACCCAGGATGAGGACAGTGCCAACCCTTGGTTCCTCTAGCTGAAACATGCCTGGTGATCCTGGTGATAGCAAAAGGGTTTTAACATCATGGGGATTTCGGGTTAAAAGGAAAATTAAGCTTAGTAGGCCCGGAAAAAAAAAAATACCCTGGGTACATGGAGGCCTTGTACCTTGCTAGAACTGCGCCTGTGTAGCTGGTGCATGATAAATGATAGAATTGTTAGATGTGATGATTGTTTAGTAATTAAATGTAATTGCTGTTTAATCGCAAGAATAAGCATGAGAAACTGTGGTCAGGGGCCTAAGAAAGATCACGAGAAACCCATGGTTGAATAAAGTCAATATATACAATAGAATAATCTAAGTTTAATAATGAATATGTAAGTTATATAATGATAGAATATAAAATACGCTCAGCTCGAAAGCCGTGTCAGAGTCAGATTTGGGTCTGTCCCCCTGATTCCCAGAGCTCTCAATAAAATCACATATGCAGATAATCACATCCAGCGATTTTGTGCGTTCCTGAACGCCAACACTGGCATCACCCTCAGGCTCCCCGCAGTGGAGAGGGCCGCCAGCACTCGGGGTGTCACCGGCGGTGACACCGCGGCGACGGGGCCGTCCCCCCGCTCCCCCCCAGCGCGCGGGGCCTTACTGGGACAGGTGGGGTTGGAGCACTCCCGGGCGTCGGCGTGGGCCCCCCGGCACTCGGCCCAGCCGTGGGCCGAGACGCTGCACTTGCGCGTCCGCTGCTGGGTGCCGTTGGCGCAGGTGACGGAGCAGCGGCTCCAGGCGCCCCACTCCAGCCACTGCCCTTCCACTGCGGGGACAAGGAGAGCGCCGTCAGCTCCCACGGCACGGCGGCCGCTCGGCCACGCCGCCGCCGGGCTCGCCGTGACCCGCGCCGGGCTCGCCAGGACACGGGTCCAACCTACGGGTGTGCCGGCTCGTCCTGTGCCGGCTCGTGCTGGCGGTGCTGGGAGCGGGGGTTGTCACCAGGGCTGGCCCCCACAGCGGCTGGGACACAAGGGACACGCTCAGGGTGGGGACCCTGGTGCTGCTCGCACCGAATTTGGCGTTCCTGGCACCCTTGGTATTGCTCCCAACCAAACCCAGCGCCTCTGGCATTGCTCCTGCCGAATCCAGAAGCTCTGGCGTTGCTTTACACCAAATCCAGCATCCCTGGCACCGCTTCCAACCAAGCCCAGAATCCCTGGCATCACTTCTGGCCAAATCCAGCATCCCTGGCATCGCTTCCAACCAAACCCAGAATCCCTGGCATCACTTCTGGCCAAATCCAGCATCCCTGGCATCGCTTCCAACCAAACCCAGAATCCCTGGCATCACTTCCGGCCAAATCCAGCATCCCTGGCATTGCTTTTTAACAAATCCAACATCCCTGGCATTGTTTCCAACCACATCCACCATCCCTATCATCACTCCTGCCAAATCCATCATCCCTGGCATTACTTCCAACCAAGTCCATCATCCCTGGCATTACTTCCAACCAAATCCGGCACCCCTGGCATCGTTCCCTGCCAAACTCAAGACTCCAGCAGCATCACCACAGGACAGCCGTGCCCAAAGCGCTGTGCCACGGCTGCCACGTCCCTGTCAGAGCTGCTGCAGGAGCAGCTCCCGCGCTCCCTCCTGCTCCAGGAGAGACATGGCACTCCTGCCCGTCACCGCAGAAACCCCACAGCCACCACCACGGCCACTCCTGGCACGCAGGAGGAAGGGACAGCCGTGGCACTGCCAGCTGTGCGCGGACAGACCCTGCAGCCGACCTCCTTTGTCACCTCCCTGTGCCCCACAGTGTCCCTGTGCCACCCCAGTGCCAGGCACAGCAGAGGGGCAGGGAAGGAGCCGCCTCCTCTGTGGTGCCCAGGCTGGACCCTGCCCACGCTGGGGTGGTGAGACCCCGGCACGGCCAGCAGCACTGGATTTCCATTCGGATCTCCAGCGGGGACAGGACGGTGCGCCCGGTGTCACAGCAGCCCCACGTCCCTGCTGCCCGTGGCGGTGCCACCCGTCCCTCGCGGCACCAGGAGCTCCTGGTGCCGTCTCCTGGCATTCCCGGCGGGAAGAAGGAGCGTGGGGAGAGGGAGGGAGGTACTGACCCGGGCAGATCGCGATATTGCAGGGCTTGGCCTGCAGCTCGGGGCCCTCGCAGGCCTTCCCTCGGCGCCGCGAGGCCGCGCAGCGCCGCGTCCTGGTCCTGGCCCCTCGCCCGCAGGTCACCGAGCACAGGCTCCACGGGGACCACTCCTCCCATGCGCCAAGAACTGCAACACAGCACAGCCCAGGGGCTCCTGGCACCGAGGGCTCCTGGCCTGGCAGAGCCCTCGCGCCCTGCCCAGGGCTCAGCCGGGCACAGTTCCCAGCCCTGCCTGCCCCGTCGTCACCCCAAACCCCCGAGCTGGCAGCGCTGCTCCAGCCTCCCTCTGTGGTGCTGGCACCGGCGGCGCGTGTCCCCCCGATGTGGGAATGCAGGGCTTCCCTCTGGCTGCCCTGGCAGGGGTCAGAACCCCCCTGGACAGAGCCCCCAGAGACACTGGCTGTGATCTCTGCCCATGGAAAAGAGTTTTCAATCTTACAGGATGAATTACCAGCTCTGAGTGTTTGATATCAGTAATAATTAAGTGTGGCACGGGTGCAAAAGGAAAATTTTAGGATTCTGGATTAGGGTTCAAAGGGGACAAGATGGAGGAAATTGGGTGTGCCTTGTCCTTTTTCTCCTTCTTCATGCCCTCCATGTTTCACTGTGGTGTTGGCATTTTTCTGTTGGCTCAGGCTGGGGACACACTGTCCAACGTAGGTGACAGATATTGGCACGTTATTGTAAATCCAGCACAGGTAGTTTGTGGTATTTAATGTTTGTACCATCCCACTGAGGGCAGAGCCCCACACGCTGCCCTGCAGGACAGAGCTGCGGCAGGGCAGCAGAACATGTTAGAGATAAACAGAATAAACAACCTTGAAACCAGCACAGACCAATTATGGCTTCTTCTTTGGCAGCGGGGCAGAAAGACAGAGACTTTTTGCAATTTTGGAATCATCAATACCTCAGATTCCGACACCCAAAGCCACAAACGGGTCACCCCAGTCCCTGGCAGCATGTGGCAAGCACATTTCTCTCCCTCTCAGGATTTCTCATAGAGGAGCACAGAGGAAAGAAAGAGAAAATTTCTATTTCTGCTCCTTGTTTTTCCTATGTGGAATGTGTTTGGAGAATTGTTTACCTGGGGTGATCGCTTGGTTGGATTCTGGTGAGGATTGTTTGAGCCTGATGGCCAATCCAACCCACCTGGGGCTGGGCTCTCAGAGAGGGTCACGAGTTGTGTTGGAGTCAGAGAAAGTAGTATGTAGTTTTAGTATCTTCCTTTTTATATAGTATATTAATGTTTATAGCATAGTTATAATAAAGAAATCATTAATCCTTCTGAACTGAGTCAGACATCGTCATTTCTTCCCATTGGGTTCGCCTGCGTTTACAATATCAGCACACCGAGCACGACCTGCCCCTCACCCATGGGAGCTCAGTGCTCCAGGAAAGGATCAGGGACCATCCTAAAGGATGTTCCTCTTCGAGCCCCGAAGTCCTCGGGGTGCCAGGACAGGGCTGCCCTCCCCGGTACGGAGAGGAGCAGGCACTGCATGTCCTGGGGGTGAAAATCCCTCGAAACACCCCAGATTAGGACAGGGCAGTGTGGCTGCCACTGTGGCACCCTGAGGTCCCTCCCGTGTCCCACATGAGACGCACAGACACCACCACGGACAGCCAGGAGATCCTTGGCACCCTGCTGCCACCCGCCTCGGGGCTCTGAGCAGCTCAGCCCCCTCCTGCCCCACCTCAGGGGGAACCCCTCGGAATGCCAGGCTCCAAATCCCCCAGGCTCCAGCACAAAACCTTGCGGACATCCAGGAGGAGCCCAGAGTTCACCAGGAGAAAGGATGGAAAGGATTTCCCCAGGCAGCAGCACCGCTGACAGGGCACGGGGCGCGTTCCAACACCTCCCTAGGAGGGACTGCAGAGGATGGAGGGATGCCAACATCACCCGGAGCACCCCAGCGCAGGGTGGGCACCACAACCGTGCCAAGCCACCCTTCTCATCCACCCTGAGACGTCCTACAACGCATTCTCTCTGTCCCCACCCGCCTGGGCAGCGCAGCAGCGGTGTCGCCGCCGGTGTCACCGGTGTCCCCCGTACCTGGGCAGGTGGCGGTGTTGTTGCAGGTGCGGGTCTCCCGGAGCAGCCCGCTGCACAGCGTCCCGTAGGGAGAGGAGACGCAGGAGCGCGTCCGCACCTGGGAGCCCTGGCCGCAGGTCAGAGAGCAAACGCTCCACTGCGACCACTCCTCCGCAGCGGGGTCCCCTGCGGGGGACAGCGAGCCTCAGAGGGGACAGGGACAGGGGACACGCCACCAGTGCGGCCCCGCAAGCGGACAGGGAGATGGGTGGGTGGCAGAGGTGGGTGTAGGGGTGAGGGTTTGAGGGTGACAGGGGTGGCACGGAGGGTGTCAGGGAGGTGAGGCCGCGGATGGGGATGGAGAAGGGATTGGGGCACGGGGTGCAGCTGGTGTGAGGGACAGGAGGGGCTGGCAGGGCGGGCAGGGTGGGCAGCACAGACAGAACAGACAGGGGGAGTGTACAGGGGTGGACAGAGTGGTCAGTGGGCAGCACGGACAGGGTGACCAAGGCAGGGTGGGCAGTGGGCAGCATGGGCAAGCATGGACAGGGTGAGGGGGTGAGCAGAGTGGTCAGTGGGCAGGAGGGACAGGGTGACCAGGGCAGGGTGGGCTGTGGGCAGCACGGACAGGGTGACCAAGGCAGGGTGGTCAGTGGGCAGCACAGGCCAGCACGGACAGGGGGAGTGGGGTGGACAGAGTGGTCAGTGGGCAGCAGGGACAGGGTGACCAGGGCAGGGTGGGCAGTGGGCAGCACGGACGAACACGGACAGGGTGAGGGGATGGGCAGAGTGGTCAGTGGGCAGAAGGGACAGGGTGACCAGGGCAGGGTGGGCAGTGGGCAGCTCGAATGGGGTGAGTGGGGTGGACAGGGTGGGCAGCGGGCAGCATGGGCAGGGTGGGCAGCATGGGCAGGACAGACAGGGTGGGCAGCCATGGACAGGGTGAGCAACACAGGCAGCATGGGCAGTCTTGGGCAGGGTGGGCAGCGGGCAGCATGAACAAAGTGGGCAGTCATGGACAGGGTGGGCAGCGTGGGCAGTGTGTGCGTGGTGGGCAGCACAGGGTGGGCAGCACAGACAGGGTGGGCAGCACAGACAGGGTGGGCAGCACAGACAGGATGGGCAGCACAGACAGGGTGGGCAGCACAGACAGGGTGGGCAGCACAGGGTGGGCAGCACAGACAGGATGGGCAGCGTGGGCACCATGGGCAGCCCTCCGCAGCTCCCTCCCCCCGGCCCGTCACACGCTGACATTTCCAACAAGCGGCTCTTATTAAGGTTGATGATGTCTCTGAGGCTCTTGGACAGCCCAGCAGCGGAGCCCATCCGTATAAATTCCACGGGGATAGATGGGGGAGGGCTCCAAAGGGCTCCGTTTGTCCTGCAGACAGGCAGGACACGGGCTCCGTGTCACCCGCGGGGGTGACAACGTGTGGGGCACCCCGAGACTGCACAGGGTGACCCAGGAGCTGCCGGTGGGGCAGGAGCCCCGTGAGTGTGGCCAGAATTCTGCATGCCAGGCACACGGAGCAGAGCCGGGGCCCATCCATCTCCTGCTCGCCTCCGAGCCCTCCGCCCATAAATCAGGGAGGCTGGGGAGGGGGGAGCAGCACGCTCCAATTACCCAGATGGATTTGCCAAATAAATACATTTGAACGAAACAATTAATAGATTTTTTTTCTTTTTTTTTTTTTTTCGCTTCTGCTTTACAACCCTCGGAGGAAAGTGCAGAGGGAAAAAATATATAAATGGAGCAAATTAAGGCAGTCCGTGGGCAGGGAGCTAAAGGGACTCGCTCCATCTCTGTCACCCCTGCCCAGGTGAATGAGCCTGGTGTCACCAGTGTCCCCCTGCCTGTTCCTGGTACCTGTCTGGGCCATGTAGACCCCGGGTTCATCTGCTGACCGTGGCCACTGGGTCTTCACCTTCTGGTTTTCCTCGACCGCATTGCCTAGGAGAGAGAAATGCCCAAATGAGAGTGGGCAAGGCACAGGGATGGGGACAGGGATGGGGACAGCCCAGCGTGGGACATTTCAGGGGGGTACAGAGATGCCCGTCCCCACGCTGACACCGCTGAGAGCATCACTGAGCACACTCCCAACACCCCAACCGTGTCACAGCCACCCCAAAATGTCCCAGGGCTGGCAGCTGGACCCCAGCGCGGGGTGGCACGTCCCTGGCGCAGGCAGGGTGCCCGTGTCCCCACCGTGCCAGGCGGAGGTGCTCTCCCATCCCCACTTATCAGCTCGCTGCAGTGAGGTGGCACAAATTTATGGCTCGGCTCACCAAAAATAACAAGTGATCCATCAAGAGCACTTGGCGTGAAATGAACTGGCATGTGCGGGGCCCGGCGGGGGACGCGGCTGCAGGCGCAGGGGGACACCTCCCTCGGTGTCCCCCAGGCCACCAGAGAGACTCCTGTCCCCAAATCTGGGCCCTGGAGCTCCTGTGGGCTCATCCCAGCTGCTCCTGCTGGATGTGCCACGGGGGACAGAGGGACAGAGGCGCCGCAGCGATGTCACCCCCCAAATTGCTGTCGCTTCACTGCTGTGACAGCCAGGAGAGCAGGCAGGGAGGGCACAGCCTGCCACCAAACACAGCGCTGTCCCCAAGGGATGGAGGAGAGGCGGCATGGGGACACCTGGCACTGCTTTGGGCACATGGTGGCTCCCACTGGGACGCCGAGTGGGGACACCCAGCCCCAGGCAGGGAGCACAGCCTGCTCTGGCACTGGCTGTGTGTCCAAAAGCCCCAAATTTACTGAGTTTTGCCTTAACTCGGGGTAACCCTTCAGGGCTCTCTGCTGGCACACTCAGATCGTGTCCATGGACATCCCACTCCAGAATTCCCGCTGGCATGGGAGACACAGCGGGACCTGGGGACACCAAGAGGATGCCCAGCGGGGTCTGTGGGGCCACCAGGCTGAATCCCCCACAGGGCCACCCCGCTCTGGGAGCGCCCCAGCAGAATCACACACGGCACGGCGGGAGCCTGGGGAAAACCATAAATCCCGAGGATATACGAGGGCGTTCTCCCCGGCTGTGTTCGACAGAGACACCAAATTCAATTTCCTTTGGAGAGCGTTAAATCCTCACCTGTCACTGCCGAGAGGCTGCAGCCAACCCTGACACGCACCCCACCCTGCCCGGGGGTCCCCCCAGCACCCCAGCACAGCACAGCTGCTGGGGGCAAGGATGAGAGGTGATTTTGGGGACGCCAGGGGTGTTCTTTGGGGACCTCAAGGTGAATCCCAAGGCTGGTTGTGTCCTTGTCCCAGCAGCACCTCACTGGTGGTTGGTTTCTGAGCAGGGACGGGTTTGGGGTGAGGGAAACCCAAAATTTGAGCTGCTTGGCCTCGACACAGCAGGGTCACCCAGAGGCCATCTAAAAGAGGGGGGGTCACACCTTTGGGGGTCTTTAGAGGGGAGCAGCAGGGCTGAACGCACCCAAAGCCACCCCACAAAACTCCAAACCACCCACGTGCCTCCAACCCCATCCCCGAATCCCCCCGGGGGGATGACGTGGGCGCCGGGGACCCCGGGGTCAGCGCTGTGGGGAGGCTTTGGGTGGGCGCCAGCCCCACGTCGCTGCGGCGCAGGAGCCGCTGAGATCAGCGCTGGGCGCCCGCCAAGCCTGGGCTCACAGGCGCCATTCAGCCCCCCGGCCCCGGTGCCACCATCCCCCTGAAAGGCGACCATTCTCCACCCGGGGGGAGGCCAGGTGGGAGCTGGGACCCCCCCGGCCGCATGAAGGGCGCTCTGTGCTGTGGACCCGCAGCTCAGCGCGGTGACACCGGGGGGGACGGCGGCAGCGGCGTGGCGCGAGGCGGCGCGTCACCCCCGTGGCTCTGGCACTCCGGGCGCTCCAGCCCTTAATTGGATGTCAAATGGAATTTGGAGAGGGAGACGGAGTTTGCAGCGGAATGTGACACTGAGCCCTGCCAGCTCTGCAGGGACACCCCTGGCCAGTGCCCTGTGCCAGGCTCGGGGGAAATAACCTTGCAGAACCAACCCTGGGGACGGGCTGGGTCTCCTGGAGGAGCCATCCCATCCTGGATCCCAGTTCTCAATCCTCTCTTGGATCCCAATTCTCCATCCCATCCTGGATCCCAGATCTCCATCCCATCCTGGATCCAATTCTCCATCCCATCCTGGATCCCAATTCTCCATCCTGCATCCCAATTCTGAATCCCATTCTGGATCCCAATTCTCCATCCTGGATCCGAATTCTCCATCCTGGATCCGAATTTTCCATCCTGCATCCCAATTCTCCCTCCCATTCTGGATCCCAATTCTCCATCCTGGATCCAATTCTCCATCATGGATCCCAATTCTCCATCCCATCCTGGATCCCAATTCTCAATCCCATCCTGCATCCCAATTCTGAATCCCATTGTGGATCCCACTTCTCCATCCTGGATCTGAATTCTCCATCCTGGATCCTGCTTCTCCAGCCCATTCTGGATCCCAATTCTCCATCCTGGATCCCGTTTCTCCGTCCCATCCCACGGCAGGTGCCGCCCCTCGGGCACGGGCTCAGCCAGGCTGACCTTGGGGCTGCCACCTGAGCTCTTCATCCCCCACGGGGAGTGGCGTTTAAATGGGGGGAAAAAAGAAACAAAACGTGAAAAAAACACCCATAAAAAATGAAATCAGCTCAAGCAGCTCCTCGGGATGAGGCGATTTAGAGCCCTGCAGCTGTAAGGGACCGGGGATTTAGTGGGGGATCTGCCCTAATGGCATTTAGCTCCTGAAATAAACGCTAAAACCCAATGAAATTATCTCTACACCCCCGGCCCGGCCCTGCCCCGCCGCCTGATCTGCCGGATAAAAGTCCCCACACAGCCCAGCTGGGCATTGCTCCTACCCTGAGGCTGCCGGAGGGAAAACATCTGGCCAGATGTGTCCCGAAATCCCCAGGGCAGCAGCAGGGCAGGGCAGGATCGCGGTGCTGGCGGCTGCTCTATCCTCAGCCGTTCCCACAATCCCGGAACGAGCAAATGGCCTCGTTCCTCCTGCTGAACATCCTGCCCGCAATGCCAAGCGCCCGGGCCGCACACTCAAGGGTAATTTGCCACGGCAAAGGGTCATTTTACCTGCAAATTGCTTCCCACGTCTCCACCAAGGCGTGCTGAGTTGGCTCCTGCTCCTGCCCCGTGCCAGCGAGGCGGCGAGCCAGGCCAGGGGTGTGCCAGAGCAGCCGTGGCATCAGCCCTGGCAGCGCCGGGGTCACCGTGGTGTTCCCAGGGGTGGCCGGGCCACGGCAAGGGCAGGGCAAGGTGGAGCTCCACGGGTTTGAACTCATCCAGATTCCCTGCTCTATGCCCAGTGCCCAGTTGGCACCATCCTGCCCTAAATTGTGTGCTCAGGCAGTATTCATCCATCCCGTGGATTCCCTGATCCATGCCCAGTGCCCAGTTGGCACCATCCTGCCCTGGGAGTGGGCTCAGACAGGATTCACCCATCCCATGGATTCCCTGCTCCATGCCCAACCTCCAGCTGGCACCAATCCTACCCCAGCAGTGTGCATGGGCAGGATCCATCCATTTCACATTCCCTGCTCTGTGCCCAGTGCCCCACTGGCACCTCCAGCCTCAAAATCCATCCATTTCACATTCCCTGCTCCGTGCCCACTGCCCCACTGGCACCTCCAGCCCCTGGATCCATCCATTTCACATTCCCTGCTCCATGCCCAGCTCTCCACTGGCACCTCCAGCCCCTGGATCCATCCATTTCACATTCCCTGCTCCATTCCCAGCGCCCCACTGGCACCTCCAGCCTCAAAATCCGTCCATTTCACATTCCCTGCTCCGTGCCCAGTGCCCCACTGGCACCTCCAGCCTCAAAATCCATCCATTTCACATTCCCTGCTCTGTGCCCAGCGCTCCACTGGCACCTCCAGCCCCTGGATCCATCCATTTCACATTCCCTGCTCCGTGCCCAGTGCCCCACTGGCACCTCCAGTGCCTGGATCCATCCATTTCACATTCCCTGCTCCGTGCCCACTGCCCCACTGGCACCTCCAGCCTCAAAATCATTCCCTGCTCCATTCCCAGTGCCCCACCGGCACCTCCAGCCTCAAAATCCATCCATTTCACCTTCCCTGCTCCGTGCCCAGTGCCCCACTGGCACCTCCAGCCTCAAAATCATTCCCTGCTCCATTCCCAGTGCCTCACTGGCACCTCCAGCCTCAAAATCCATCCATTTCACCATTCCCTCCTCCATGCCCAGCTCCCAGCTGGCACTTCCCAGTCCCACAGAGCCCACACCAACCTGATCCCTCCACTGCCCAACTCCCACCACCCCCATTCCCCGTGGACCACGCACAGGCAGAACCCACCCGTGCCACAAGCAGCACCCAGCGACCCCCAACCCCACACAGGGGGTCCATCCCCGCTGCCCACTCACCGTGGGGCACCTCGGGCAGGTCGAGCTCGTTGGCATCGGGGGAGCGCAGCTCGGTGGGGCAGCAGTCGGGGGCGGCGGGCGCGGGGGTGGGCGCGGGGACCGGGGCTCGGCTGCCGCCGCGCCGGGGCACCGGAGCGCTCTCGGCCTGGCAGCTGCAACCGGCGTGGGTGAAGCCGCAGCGGCGGGCACCGGGAGCCTGCAGGCACTCCTCGAGCCAGCGGCACAGCACGCTGCAGGTGAACTGGCTGGAGTTGTTGTTGTTGATGAGCAGCACCTCCACGAAGCGGAATTCCAGCGCTTGCGGCTCCAGCAGCCGCGGCGCCGCCTCGGGTTCGGCCGCCAGGCACAGCTGCACGAAGTTCTTGTCGAAGTGCAGGAAGGTGAAGGGCCCCGCGCCTTCGCACAGCTCCAGCTCGGCTTCCTCGTCCTCCTCCTCCTCCTCCTGCTGCTGCTCGGGGCGGCGGGTGGGCGCAGGGCTGGGCTCGGCCCGGGGGTCGCAGGTGTAGTTGGCCAGGTAGTGGTCGAGCGGCAGCACCATGGGCGAGAAGTGGGTGCAGACCTGCTCCTCCCGGTTGAAGCGGAGGTAGAGCGAGTACTTGGTGGGGTCGGGGTTCTCCAGGGTCCAGGAGCAGCCGGAGGAGATGGTGGGGAACAGGTCCTTGAGGGAGAAGGAGCCGTAGAGGACGCCCGAGGCCAGGGCGGAGCAGGCGCTGGGAGCCGGGTCGAAGCCCCGCGTGAGCCACAGGACAGACGATATCACAGCCAGTAAGAGGGGACCAGCAGCGGTCATCCTATGGCATTTGCCCTGCGGACACACAGACGGACACACGGACACAGGTTTACCCAGTGGAGCCGAGCTGGAGGTCAGCAGCCTGCCCTGAGCCCCGCTGGTGTGGGAGCAGCGTCCCGCTTACCCCATGTGGTTCGTGTCCCCACCTGGTCCCTGTCCCCACCTTGCGGGGTTACAGGGGACCCCTCGCTGTGCCAATGAGTCCCCGAGTTGGGGTCTCTGCAGCACAGAGCGAGGACTTCACCCCAAAAGCACCAGAGCAGAGACCCAACCCCACAGATCCCCCCGACCCTCTGCTCACCCCCCTCCACGAGGTGGCCAAGCACAGCCTGGGCTTGGAGCCACCAAACAACTCCAGACAGGGCTACAAAACCCCTCGGAGCTCGTTCTGGTGCCCTGGAGCACGGTGGGCATAGGCTGGCAGCTCTGGGGGTGCACGGTGCCACCCCGGCAGCGTGGTGCCCCCACATCCGTCCTAAGAGCCGGGCACAGGGTGAGCAGTCGGTACAGATGTCTTGGATACCTCTCTGGGAATGCAGAGCATCACCATGAACGGCTTTTTAATAGCTCATTAATAAAATAATGCATGCCGTGGCCTTATTAAGAGAGCCCTGGAGCGCCGAGGCCGCCGTGCACGTGTCAGCATCAGCGGTGGCAAGGGGACAGCCCTGGGGACAGCAGGGGACATCCAGGAGGTGGCCACAGGGCCAGATGCCACGGCAGAGGTTGATTTTTAAATCGCTGAGGTCGCCGCTCGCCTCCGCCCAGCCGTGTGCTGGGGATGCCAAACGCTTGGCACGGCACGGGGGATGCTCCTCCTCGCCCTCAAATAGTAAATCCTGCCCCCAAATCACCCTCAAACAGCAAATCCTGCCCCCAAACCACCTTCAAATAGTAAATCCTGCCCCCAAACCACCTTCAAATAGTAAATCCTGCCCTCAAACTACTCTCAAACATCAAATCCTGCTCCTGAACCACTCCCAAACACCAAATCCTGCTCCTGAACCACTCCCAAACAACAAATCCTGCCCCCAAACCACTCCCAAACACCAAATCCTGCCCCCAAACCACCCTCAAATACCAAATCCTGCCCCCAAACCACCCTCAAACACCAAATCCTGCCCCCAAACCACCTTCAAACCCCAAATCCTGCTCCCGAAGCAGCCCTGGCCCAGGTGCTGGTACTGGGGCATCCCCCGGCTCATCGGGAGGGACACGGAGCCTTGGCCGAGCCTGTGCTGGAGCCACTCCGGGGACATGAAAGCGCTAAAAATATCCCGATTCTCGTGCAACAGGCTGGCACTGGCTCCTGCAGCACCGGGGGGGGCTCGGGGCTGGCATTGCCCCCTCCAGGGCACCGGGAGAGGGGCTGGGATGGAGCCAGCGGGAGCAGCCCGGATCTCCCCGGTGCCAGCAGGGGGATGTGGAGGAAAAGAAAACCTCCGCTTTTCCAGAGGAAAACACTCCGGTTCCTCTGGGCTCCGGGAAATGCAACAGGAGAGGCCCAAAACACCGAATTGCAGCTGCAGCCGGAGCGGGGAGCGCCACGGGCATCCCCCACCGGGATACCGGAGAGGCCACCGAGGGTCTGGGGTCCCCCGGAGAGTCGCAGCCCCTCCGCTGCTCCGGGAGAGGCGGGAGTGGGGGCAGGGAGGAGGAGGAGGAAGAGGAGGGAGAGGAGGAGGAGGAGGGAGAGGAGAGAGGAGGAGGTCAGGCAGGGACACGCTGCTGCTCTGCAGCGAGCTCCTGGGGCTCCCGCAGCCTGGCAGGGACACAAGATGGTGCTTGCTTCCCTCGCCTGGGAGCAGCGAGGCTCCGGCAGCAGCATCCATCCATCCATCCATCCATCCATCCATCCATCCATCCATCCATCCATCCATCCATCCATCCATCCATCCGTCCGTCCATCCATCCATCCACCCTCCATCCATCCCGCCCGCTGTAAGGCTCGGGGATGGACAGACCCCACTCCTCACCTCTCCAGACATTCATGATCCAGCTGTTCTGGGCTCTGGGCTATGGGGAGCTCCTCCCGGCCCCAAAACCTCCGGGCTGCGGCTGCCCCGAGCCCGGCACGGCTGCACCGGAGCTGCCGGAGCCTCCCTGCAGCTCCCGAGCCTCCGGAGCCGCCGCCGCTGCTGCTGCAGTGAAAATATTTCACCGAGCTGCGAGGGGGCCCAGGAGATTTTTAACATCTGGCCCAGCGAGTCACCCGGCGGGAGCTACCGGGGGTCACCTCACCCGCACCCTGCAGCGGTACCGGGGCACGGCCGCCTCGGCATCACCTCCGCTGCCTCCAAAACCGCCCGGATTCCTGCGGGATGAGCCGTGACCGCATCCCGGCAGCGCTGCCGGGTCCCTGGGGGCAGCTGGCGACCACCCAGGGGTGCCCTACACCCTGTTGGGGACGGCGATGTCACCCGGAGCGCGGCGGGCACAGCCTGGCACGCTCGCCCGCCGCAGGCGCCCGCTCCGGCCCCTTCCATCTGCCTTTGTTCCCGCCCGGGCGCAGGGAAGGGGGTGGGTTTAAAGCTTTAATTAAAGCTTTTAAAGAGCCATCACAGAGCTGCGGAGCGGCCGGGCGGGAGGAAGGGACAGCCCCGTTCTCTCCGCGCCGTGTCTCTCCATCGCTGCTGGAATATCGCTCCGGGAAGAGCCGGATCCCAGCGCGGCTCGGCTCCCCCCTCCCGATGCACGAACAGGTTGTTTCCCTGAGGATATTCCTGGATTTTGGCTGCATCCCCGTCCAGCTCCAGCATCGCGGCACGGCAGGAACCCAAATCGTGACCGCGTCCAGTCAGGAAAAGCCAGGGACAACCAACAGTCCCCCCCCCAAAAAAAAGTGACAAATGGGCAGCACTAAACCCCTCGGCATCAATAATCTGAGAAACCGTTAATGGCAGAGTAAAGGAGATTTTTGACAGGCTGCAAAAAATACAAAATCCATGGGGAAAAAAAGACCTGATCCAGGAAAATTCCTAACATGAGCGTGGCTTAGGATAAAGGAATAAAAAGTAAGGAAGGGCTGGGGCATCCAGGGTGGTTGATCCAGCGTGGAACAACCTCACTTCCCTGCCAAAAGGAGCGGGCTGGCCCCTGGCACGGCACAGCCGGGCGGCTCCATCCCTGCCCACCCGGAGGTGACAGTGACACCACGAGCAATTCCCACCCCCCTCCAACCCCCAGCATCTCCAGAGGCATCCAGCGACTCCAAATCTGCTCCGAAACACCTCCACGGGGACCCGCAGCACTGAGCTGGGCTGTCCTGACCCTTCCCAGCCCTTCCCCCCACAGAGCAGCCCAAATCCTGGGCAAATCCCGGCTGCAATCCCAACCTCCAGCCCAAATCCCACAGATCCCCGCATGGAGCACGCTTGCACACGTGTGTGCACACCCAGCAGGGCCAGCCACATCCCAGCTGCTTCCAGCCGCTCTGGCACAATTCCCTCAGCGTCCAGGACCACGTTTTCCCTCCTTTCCATGATTCCACGTCTCCTTTCTCCCCCTGGCTCCCCGGAGCGGGCAGGCTGGCAGCGGTGCCCAGCTGTAATTAATGGTGCCGCTTTGCCAATGCCTGGCACGGCCTCGCCAGCACTGGCAAGCACAGGCCTCTTTATTTATTTGATTTAACTGCTGTTGGTAAAACTCCGCTCCAAAAGCAACGCCAGGAGACAGCACAGAGAAATCTCCGCCGGGATTCGCTCTGCCAGGGAACGGCGTGTGCTGCCTCCCCACCCTGGCCTTGCACAGTTCTGGGGGTCCCTGGAGTCACAGCCCCCACCTCGGTCATCCCACGGCCTCTTCCAAGGAGTTTCTTCCACATCCTTGGGGTGTGAGTCCCTCTTTTCCATCAGCTCCGTTCTGGAGGGTTGGGAAGGCTCCAAAGTGGGGTTCGGATCCCCAGCGTTGGCGGCAGGATCCGTTCTCATTCCAAAAGGGGATTTTTTTTTTTGGTTTTGTACCCATCATCTCATCCAGAGCCAGCCCCACCGCGAGACTCCGAGGTGCTCCAGGGGGAGAAGGGACCTGGCTCCATCCCAGATTTGGAGGACATCAAGAAGGAGCAGCCAGGAGCAGCGCAGGGGGGACAGCCCGGCCCTGGTGAGCAGCGAGGAGCTGGAGAGCTTCTGACATTTGGCAACCGAGGCAGGCGGCCCTGAGCCAGCCCCGTCCCCATTAGAGGATGGGCCCGTGGTAGGAAATGAGTTTGTAGGGCCTCAGTCCAAATTTCCCATGGAGGAGCCTCGAGGCAGCACAGCAGCGCGGGACTGGAGCGGGGCTGGAGCATCATCTTCCTCCAGGAGAGGGGGAGTCCATCCTGCAGCCCCATCCCAGCTGAAATCCCCACGGGATGCGGGTTTGGCAGCAATGGGGCCGCCCTGGCTGGTGGAAATCCATCTCACCCCACAGCGGTCAGCAGGAGCTTGGTGCCAGGGCAGAGCTCTCCAGCGGCGGGGAGAGCCGAGCACCCCCGGTGCCATCTCCAGCACGGCAGGGAGCGACTCCAGGCAGAAAATTCCACTGCCAAAGGTCCTTGGAGGCGTTGAGAAGAACCAGAAGGAGCTGGGAAGGGCTGGCAGCGTGTCCCAGCCGGCGCACAGCCCGAATTTGTAGGGTCCTGGCTCCTTGGATCCACGCAGGAGCCAGTGCCGAGGCTTGCTGGGCAATGGGCAGGCCGGGCAGAGGAGCTGCTGCCAGGCTCCGTGCCCTGGCACTGCCACACGGCCAACTCCACATCCACTGCCACCGTGCCATCCCCACGGAGCCCCGCGGGGCGCGGGGAGCAGACCCTCCCCGCTGAGGAGCAGCCAGGTGACGGTGACGGTGACAGCGACAACAGCCGCGCCACCCCGCTCCTCCCCACGCCAGCCCACGCAGCCGGGTGCCTCCCCACGACCCCCCTCAGCTCGGTAAAGGAGGGACAAATGTGTCCCCAAGACAGAGGGACAGAGCTCAGAGCCAGCCCCGTGCCACCAGCGCCACGGACAGACCCCCGGTCACCCCGGGGCCACCTCCCCGCGTCACCGGCGGCCAGCCCAGCCAGCGGTGCCGTGACCTAGAAAAGGAAAAGGTTCTTCACCCGCCAGCCCCCCCTGCGCCGCCTGCGGGAAAACCTCCCCGTCCTCAACAAGTGCCCGGCGCGGGCACACGCGTGGGGCACGCGTGGCACCGCTCCGTGCCACCGGCGGGCGGGGAAGGGCCGCGGGTCCCCCCTCAAAGCCCCGGGTGCCGCCTGCCCGCCGCACGTGCCCGCGGTGGCACACGCTGGGTGCCCACGTGTGCCCTCCCGCACGCCCACGGGTGGCACGGAGCCCCCCGCAGCCCCCCACGCGGGGGTGGGCTGCCAACCCACGCGGCGAGTCCCCAGGGGTGACAACGCGGGGTGAATGAGCCCGCCGAGCAGCCACGCTCGCCCGGCTGGCACAATCCACGCGTGTGCCCGCAGCAGGGTGCCCTGCACCCACCCGTGGCCTTGCTGTGTGACACACCGCGCTGCCACACGTGTGCCCAGGGACACGCGTGTGCCCGCGGACACGCGTGCGGCCCCTCCGCCCTGGGGCTGCCGGAGCCGGGCGCTGTTTTAAAGGCGGGGATTGGCACCCCACGGGAGGAAACGGCGCCTCGAGTGGGGCACGGGCGAGCTGAGGGGCACCGGGACCCCCGGGGAACCGAGGGGAGAACAAGCAGCGGGGAAGGGGAACCGGCAGGGCGGGAGGAGGAGATGGGCAGCCCCGGGAGAGGAAGGCACCGGCGGCCCCGCGGGAAGCACCGGCAGCTCCGGGCACGCCGCGGCTCTCGGCCAGCCCCGGTACCGAGCCCTCCGCGCCGCCGCAGCCCCGCGCAACTTCCCGGCAGGGCCGGGGCCGCCTCGGGGATGCCGCTGCCCGCCCCGAGCACCGGGCACGGGGCACCCGCGGCCCCAACTCCGGTTCCCGCAGCCCCGCCGCCGGGGCAGGAAAGTTGGCCGCGGTTGGGGTGGGAGCCGGGGGGACGAGCTGGGGTGGGGAGGGGGGGTCCCCGGTGGAACCGGGGCTCTGCCAACCGGCAGCACCGTCCGCCGCAGCCCCGCATCGGCGGCGAGCTGCCGCCCCCGCTGCGCCGCGCCGGCGGGGAGCGGAGCCGCCGCACCGGGGGAGCGGTGGGGGTGGGGGGTTCACCGAGAACGGTGCACCGGAGGTGTGGGGGGGGAGATATCGGTGCACCGGGGAAGGAAGGGGGTCGCGGGCGCGCTTACCTGCGCTCCGTTAGCAGCGCGTGTAGCCCCGGCGCGGCGCGGCGAGCAGCGGGTTGGCCATCCCGAGCGGCGGCGGCGGCGGCGGCGGTGGCAGCCGGTGCCCGGGCGCGCCCGGGGGAGCGCGGCGGCGGCGGCGGCGGCGGCGGCGGCGGCGGCAGCGCGCGGGGCCGGGAGCGGGAGCGGGGCCGGGAGCGGGGCCGGGAGCGGGCGCGCAGCGCGCCGGGCCCCGGTGGCGGCGGCGGCGGCGGCGGCGGATGCGGTGGGGAGGGGAAGGGAGAGGGGAGGGGAGGGTTGGGGGAGCGGGGGGCGCGGGGGCGGCGGCGGCGCGCGCCGCTCGGGCACTTGCTGCATGCGCCGGGCGCGGGGCGGTGCGGTGACAGCACCGGGCACGGCGGGGACCCCCCCCGCACCCCCTTCGCCCCTCTTCTCTCCCCTCTTCTCTCCCCGCTGCGGGGGGAGTGACCCCCGGGCTGCCGCCGCTGCTGCAGCGCTGCGGGGGCGGCGGGGGGCGGGGGGCGCGGTGCACACGCAGGAGGGGTGTGAGAGTGTTGAGTGTGTGTGTGAGTGTGTAAGAGTGTGCGTGTGTGTGCGTGTCCCTGCCCACCCCCACCCAGCCGTGTCACACGCGTGGAGTGGGTCCTGCACGGCTGGGGAGGGGGGGGGTTGACAGCGATGGGTGTGCGCAGATTTGCACACGCGTGTGCGAGGCGCGCTGGGCTCTGTGTGTGTGTGTGTGTGTGTGTGTGTCCCGTGTGGGTCCCCACACGCGTGCAGGCCTCGGGGAGTTCTGCAGAAATGGGGCTGTGACAAGCACAAACGTGACGCGAGTGGGGGTGACACGGAGCCCGCCGGACCCCCAGGAGCTCGGGGGTCGTAGAGCTGCGGTTTCACCCCCAAAGAGGAATCACAGACGGGATAAACTTGAGGATTTCCATGGTCCGCGGGCCACTGAGCCACTGGCACAGAGGTTCCGCTGCTTGCCAGGAGCTGTGGCTCGCAGGGGACAGGGTGGCAGGGCCACCGAGCCCCGGGCGTGCAGGAGGAGCTCAGCGGGATGCGGCACGGCCTGGCTGCCACGCTGCAGCTGGAAATGCAGCACGGTCCCCGCTGCTGCCTGTCCACCTCTGCCGGACTCATCCTGCCCA